ATGTGCTATGTATTATGTAGATATATTCTCTTATATTTCTATATAATACAGTGACAAAAAAAATTATTATTAATATTATTATTATTATTATTATTATTATTATTATTATTATTATTATTATTATTATTATTATTATTATTATTATTATTATTATTATTATTATTATTAGCCTTATATTATTTATTACATTATTATTATAATGAATATTAGAATTCATTTAAATTTGTCTAAATTAGAACTGCAATTAACTCTTTTGAGCGTTCTGACAAGAGGAAAGATACAAAAAAAATTAAGTAGTACAACTCAATGGTAGTAAAGTAGTACAACCTTCATAAATGAAATTCAGTAATTTCCAGGATAACTATATATTTATATTTTTTTTCTTTTTGCAAATATTATTTTATCTACTATTTTAACTATTAGTAGAAAATAAGTAAATAACTTATTTGAGTAGAAAATAACTAATTATTAGTAGAAAATAACTAAATATTAGTAAATAAATATCTGATGTTTAGTAGAAAATATCTAAATAGAAGTAAATAAATAACTAATTTTAATAGAATATAACTAATCATGATGAGTAAAAATAAATAAATATTCATAAATAAATAACTGATTATTTGTAAAAAAAAATAACTAATTATATTAGTCGAAACTAACTAAGTTCTAGGAAAAAAAAATTAAATCTATGTAAATAAATAAGAAAATATTAGAAAATAAGTTACTAAAATAGTAAATAAAAATGACAATCAGTTGAAAAATAAATATTTTATAACTGATATCATCAAATATTGGTTTTACTACAAAAATATTAAAAAAATAAAACAATATTTTTTAGTTTTTACCAGATCTTCAAATATTAGTTTTATTAATAATTATTAATAATTATTTAATTTTTTATAAAAATTAAAAAAAAGTAATATTAATAAAGTTTTAAACGTTCAAGAGATCGAAATATTTTCATAAATAACTGATTCCAATATAAAATAAAAAAATGCAAATTTCACATATTTTAGAAACTTAATTTATTTTCTTGATGGTAACTCAAAATTATTGTAATAAAAATTTAATTTGAAGAGGAAATAATAAAATTTGGTTCATTTGAACGTTATTCAGAATTTCACTTTCTATATTTTAATTTTTAATTCAAAGTTTTTCTTCTGCAGATACCAAATTGAGAGAAAAAACACTTTGCAACACTTTTGATTCATTCTTTTTCTCAATTTGATATCCCTTAGAAAAATTATATTTGTAAAAATGTTCAGTAATTTCAGTTAGTTACTGACTTCTTGATGTTGAATTAGTAAATATTAGTAAATAAATGGTAATTTTTAATTATTTATTAGTAAATTTTCTTTTTAGACTTTTTTCTTTTGAATTAGTCAATATCACTAATAAATAGTGTCTTCTACTAATTTATTAGTTAAATTCTTTTACTCTCTTAATTTGAATCAGTTAAAAATCATGGTTTTACTTTTAACTAACAAAAAAAAATTGTTTAATATAAGTAAATATTTAATTGATAAAAGTCAAGTAATCAGTTATTTGAATCAAATAAATTTTTTTTCACTGTAAAATTTACTAATTCACAAGCAAAAAGTTAGTCCCTACTTAAAATTAGTAAACATGTTTATTAGTAAAAAGAGGGTTTATATTTACTCGGCCCATAATGATCAAATAAATAAAAAATATCTTTTCAGCTAAAAAAATAACAATAACAATAAAAATCTAATAAAATAATCATTATACACTGATAAAAAATTAATTTGATTCAAATAACCAATTACTTGTCTACTCTCAAAAAAATATTTATCAAATAATTTTAAATTGAATCAATTAAATTTTATTTCCTTCAAATACTGAAATAATTTATTTAAATACAAGTTATTTGATTCAAATAAAAATTATTTGATAAAAGCAAACATTATTTGATTCAAATAAAATTTATTTGATAAAAACAAAAATTACTTGATTCAAATAATAATTATTTGATAAATAAAAATTATTTGATTCAAATAATAATTATTTGATAAAAACAAAAATTATTTGATTTAAATGAAAATTATTTGATTTAAGTAAATATTTAATTGATAAAAGTCAAGTAATCGGTTATTTGAATCAAATAAATTTTTTTTACCAGTGAACTAATAAATTAGTGGAAATCCTATTTATTAGCAATATTTAATAATTCAAAACCAACAATTCAGTCACTCATTCAAATTAGTACAAATTAAAAATAATTCAAATTTAGAGAGTATACTGAAGAAAAAATTTATTTGATTCAAATAACCGATTAATTGACTATTATCAATTAAATATTTACTTGAATCAAATAATATTTATTGGAGTCAATTAAATGGTTTAGTTTATATTTGCTTCAAATACTGAAATTATTGGTTCAAATACCATTTTATTGACTCCAATAAATATTATGCGTTTCTAGTAAATATTTAATTGATAATAGTCAATTAATCGGTTATTTGAATCAATAAAATTTTTTTTTGTGTTTCTCTGTTTTTGATTTGGTAAAAATCATAGTTTTAAATGAACAATCAGTGACTGACATTTTGTTAGTTATTTTTACCTAACAATCAGTTATTTTTAACTTTTATTTGATCAGTAGAAATATTATTATTTAAATTGACTGAATTTTTGCTTCTAAATCAGTTATTTTTACCTGATTAAAATTTAGAAAGTACTTTTTAAATTTGAATTAGTCTAAATGTTTACACTCTAAATCTGAATCAGTGAAAATTTCACTGATTTAAATTCAGTAGCCCAGTTTTCTTTTAATTCATCAGTGGAATTTCACTGAGCATCAGTAAAAACCACTGATTGTCAGTGAAATTCCACTGAATCATAAAAAAAACTGAGCCATTGAATTGAAATCAGTGAAATTTTCACTGATTCAGATTTAGAGTGTAATAATTTGAATTAGTGACTGACTTTTTGATTATGAATTTGTAAATTTTACTATACACTGACAAAAAAATTTAATTGATTCTATTAACCGATTAATTGACTATTATCCATTAAATATTTAATTGAATCAAATAATATTTATTGGAGTCAATTAAATGGTATTTGATTCAAATAGGGTCAATTGGGGTAAATGTAAACGGAATATGTATCTTTCACTAAAAACCTTAGTTTTTTTTTGTTAAAAGGTAAAACGGACGAATTTCTTTTGCATGAACTTGTTGCTAGTGTTCCCTAGAAAAATTTTATGAGGTACAAAAAAATATTGATGCACCTGAATCGCCTAAAACTGACTGTTTACATTTACCCCGAGATTTTGAAATTTTCCTAAAATTCGGGGTAAATGTAAACACCACTGTAGTTAAGCGAGGTTTACGATACAAGTTATTTCAAGTATACTACTGTTTTAAGGGATGGAAAAACTGAAAAAAAATTTTTCGTAGATGTATAGTAAACCAACCAGTTGACTGATAATGTATCATATAAATAAACAATCAACCATTACAAAATTAGTAATGTAAAAACTTGAATAACTTGAAGAAATTTTAATAGATTTTCATTCAACTTGGTAAAAAGAAGTTTTCAAGGTTGCTGAATAAGAATCTAAAATCGAATTTTTAAATTTCAAAATGGTGGATCCAATATGGCGGATGAACCTAAAAATAATATTTTTAAAAATTGATCAAATTTGCTTGAATCTGTCTACTCGGGGGTTTTTGAGGTCGCTGTATACGAATTTGAAGTCAAATTTTTAATTTTGAAAGTGGCGGATGAATCTAAGAATATTTTTAAAAATTGATCAAATTTCCAAAAAAAAAATATTTTTTTTTTCTTATCAAATTTTTTTTTTTTCAAAGAGGACCTAATTTCTTTTTCTATGTAATTTTACATTGCCAAATAAATAAAATTGTGAAATAGAAGCAAATTTATTCAATTATTTTCTTTTAAAATGTAGTTCAAGTTCTGTTTACATTTACCCCGAGTTTTCGAATTCTCGGGGTAAATGTAAACACTTAATTATTTATTAACTAAATTGACGAAAATCAGAAATCAAAGTCAATTTTTGTTAGGGGCATTAATAAGGAAGAATTACATATTTTTGTTTGATTTTTAAATTTATTTTTATGCAAATGCGAGACAAAATACTGAAACAGTAAAATTTTGATTTTCAATCTTTTTTGCATTAAAAAATAACTTACACTATGGCATTGCCAATTGTCAAAATAAAATATTGGCAATACTCAGAACATCGTGTAGGTGAGCTGAGGTAAAAATATTGACGTCGTACTTATTTTTAAATTTGTAAATTTAGCTGAAACATCTACTGTTTACATTTACCCCTTGTTTACATTTACCCCAAATGACCCTACTGAAATTATTGGTTCAAATACCATTTAATTGACTCCAATAAATATTATTTCATTCAAGTAAATATTTCATTGATAATAGTCAATTAATCGGTTAATTGAATAAATTAAATTTTTTTATTGTAGTAAATTAGTAGAAATTACTATATTTATTGGTTAAAATTTCTTCCCTTAAAATGAAAATTTCTTTTTCAAGAACAAAATAATTGAAAATTAACCTATTTTTTGTCCAAGATTAAGACAAAAATCAGTAAATTTTAGAAATTAAAATCATCTCAAAGTTGAAATTCGATCAAAAAAAAAAAAAAAAAAAAAAAAAAAAAAAAAATGTTTCTATAATTTTGACGTTTTCAGTCAAAAAAGGGAACTGAAACTAAGATTTATTTTCCACCCGCTGTGTATCTGTACTCTCTATCTCTCTCTCTCTCTCTCTCTCGCCATTATATATTTGATTCGCAAAAATTTTGATACGTCATTCAAGTTATTAGTATAGTTAAAGTTATAACGGGTCTTGAAATGAAATATCGTCGTCCCTGGTGGCAATGACGTAATGCGTGCGTACAAAGTCGCGAACGACGTTGAATCACGCGGTACAAAACGAAGGGTGGGAGTCATCAAGACAGGTCTATTGGGGTAAAATTAGGCGTAGTGGGAGGGTTGGTAGTGGAAGACACACGACGGTAGCGGGGGTTAGTAACATGGCTGCCAGTCAGTCGGTATCGAACCGCCTAGTTGTAAAGTACCGACATGACCTCCGCCAAGAGGGCAAAATCCGGGAAGTGAAAATGCGATTCTCCATCATCATTGCCAATGGAATCGGACATTGAGAAAATTTCAAAAATTACCAGGTGAGAAAAATTCAATTCTCTTCATACTTCTATTTATCTTCTCGCGATCGAATTTTGTCTCACCCCAAAAAGAATTCTTTTTTTTTACCCCGAAGCTTTTCTTTTTTTTTTTTTGCTGTATATAACAAAAAAACTACCAAGGGGTGTCATGACCCGGCTCTCTCTCAAAAAAAAATCTTTTGCCTTTTTTTCCCTTTTTTCAATATCGAGAATATTGAATTTGCACTTTCGAGGATTTTGAAGCACTTTACCGGAGATTTCGCGGCTTCGAACGACCCCGCTAAGTCAATAGTCGAGAGGCCGTCGTTCGGATGACGTCAACTCGGTGAATTCGCATCCCACCGTACTTGTTGCAGAGTGCTATTGGCCTTTATGCATTGACCTCACTGTGAAAAAAGAACCAGAGTCGATTTTTTTTTGTTTGTCTTAAAAGAAATTATTTTTTTTCTCGAGACGTTGGGGAAAAAAAATTTCCTTTTTGAGCACCACAGGGTTGATATATACAGGGGGTTGGTTGAACTAGAGAAAGAGAGAGAGAGAGAGAATGGAGTTCAATAGTAAACGTGGACTATAATGATATATCCAAAGGGAGAGAATCAAGTTGAAGGTTTATGCTCCTTTTTCGTGTATAACATTTTAAGGGTCAATTATTATTCCCCCTCTTTTATATAATTTTTTCATCTACTGTTTAATATTTCTCCCTTACTTGACATTTATTGTGTAGTGAAATTTACTATATTACGTTGTTTAACTATCGGGAGATGAAATATTACATCAATTAGATGGTCTCGTATTTGTATGATAAATAGTTGACAAAATTATTAGTTAATAGACTAATATTTTTATAGTGGAATTAATATTTTAACATCAGTATAAAAATATTTTTTTATAGTTTTTTTTCTATCCTATGCTCTCTAAATTTTAATCAATAAAAATGTTTACTAATTTCAGGTAGTGACTGACTTTTTGATTTTGAATTAGTAAATTTTACTTAAAAATTAGTAAAAATTACTATTTATTACTAATATTTACTAATTCAAAATCAAAAAATTAGAATTATTATTATTATTAATAATTTAATTAATATATAATTCAAACTAATAAACATTTTAGAATATTGAAATTTTTGAAAGCCAGAAACTTTTAGATGGTTTATATTTATTGTGACTGACTTTTTGCTTTTGAATTAGTAAATTTCAGACTGTAAAAAAATTTATTTGATTAAAATAACTAATTACTTGACTATTATCAAAAAAATATTTACTTAAGTCAAACAATTTTTATTCGAATCAAATAATTTTTGTTTTTATTAAATAATTTTTATTTAAATCAAATAATTTTTGTTTGAATCAAATAATTTTTTTTATCAAATAATTTTTATTTTTTAATCAAATAATTTTTATTTGAATCAAATATTTTTTTTTATTAAATAATTTTTATTTGAATCAAATAATTTTCGTTTTTATCAAATAATTTTTATTTCATTTAAATAATTTTTGTTTGAATCAAATAATTTTTTTTTTCAAATAATGTTTATTTGAATTAAAGTCAAGTAATTCCTTGACTATTATCAAATAAATATTTACTTAAGCCAAACAATTTTTATTTGAATCAAATAATTTTTGTTTTTATCAAATAATTTTAATTTGAATGAAATAATTTTTGTTTTTATCAAATAATTTTTATTTGAATCAATTATTTCAGTATTTGAAGGAAATAAAATTTAATTGATTCAATTAAAAATTATTTAGTAAATATTTATTTGAGAATAGACAAGAAATTGGTTATTTGAATCAAACAAATTTTTTTCAGTGTACCAATAAATTAGTAGAAATTACTATTTATTAGTAATATTTACTAATTCAAAAGCAAAAAAATCATTTACTAATTCAAACTAATAGACATTTAAGAAAATATTAAAATTTTAAAAAGCCAAAATTTTTAGTAAACAGATGTTTTTTATTTATTTGGCCATTAGGCCAAATAAATATAAAACATCTTTTTACTAATAAATATTTTTACTAATTTTAATTAGTGACTGACCTTTTGCTTGTGGCCATTAGACCAAAAATATAAAACATCTTTTTACTAATAAACATTTTTACTAATTTTAATTAGTGACTAAGCTTGTGCTTGTGAATTAGTAAATTTTACAGTAAAAAAAAATTTATTTGATTCAAATTACTGATTACTTGACTATTATCAATTTAATATTTACGTAAATTAAATAATTTTCAGTTGAATCAAATATTTTTTTTTTTTAATCAAACAATTTTTATTTCCATTAAATTTTTATTTTTTTAATCAAACAATTTTTATTTGAATCAAATAAATTGTGTTTGAATCAAATAAATTGTATTTGAATCAAATAAATTGTGTTTGAATCAAATAAATTGTGTTTGAATCAAATAAATTTTATTTGAATCAATTATTTGAGTAGATTTGAAGCAAATACCATTTAAATGATTCAAGTAAATATTTATTTGAAAATAGACAAGTAATCGGTTATTTGAATCAAATAAATTTTTTTTCAGTGAACTAGTAATTTAGTGGAAATTACTATTTATTAGTAATATTTACTAATTGAAAAGCAAAAAGTCAGTCACTAATTCAAATTAATAAACATTTTTTAATAATTTGGAGTAGTGACTAACTTTCTGCTTTTTAATTAGTAAATTTTACTAATTAGTAGAAATTACTATTTATTAGTAAATTTTACCAAATAAATTTGTAGATTTATTTATTTAGATTATTTATTAGTAATTCACGATTTATTTACTATTATTATATATTTATTAAATCAAATACAAAAAATCTAATAAAAATTACTAATAAATTAGCAGAAATTACCATTTATTAGTAATATTTATTAAGTTTCTAAAATCTGTAAAATTTGTGTATTTATAGTAACACCAATATTTGAATATCAGTTAAAAAATATTTATTTTATTCCTACAAATATTTTTCGCTTTTTTAATCAAGTTTTTCTTTGCTTGAAATTTAAAATCTTTAAATTTAAAAAAAAAAAAATTCTAAAAGAGCGTAAGTTTTAATTTTTTGAAACTAACCGTAAAAAATATTATCGTATTAAATTCACCGTTACTTTAAACTTTACTCACTCCCATTGTTCAAAAGAAGTAATTAAATATAAAAAGCGACAGTTTTAGTTCATTGAAAAAAATGTATTCATTTACAATTTTAATTTTTAAACAAGTATATTCAGTTTAAAAAAAGGGGGTTTCTAAATTAAGTAAAAAAAAATACTTTATTATAGTGATTATACATATTTATTTTAAAGATTTGTTACTTTTTTCCTTGATTACAGATTTTTTAAATCTGATTTTTTTGTCCAATTATTTTTTTTTTAATAATTAATTTTTTCCTTAATTTTTTTCTCTTGTCTGCAATTTTTCTAAATTTAAAATCATAATTTTCTTCTTTTATTTTAGAATGAAAAAATTTTTGCTATATCTTAAGTTACTTTTGAGTAAAAATGAGTAAAAATTGTTCTGAAGTAATAAAATTCACTCTGGAAATAATTTTAAAATTAATAAATAAATAACAAATTTGACGTTTGAAGAACAATTTAAAAATTTTCCTACAAAAATTTACTGGGGAAAATGGTAAAATTTACTACGAAAAATTATTATTTCCAGATGTAAATTTTGGTAATAAAAATTAGTAAAATTTAATTCCAACTTGGTAAAATTTCGTTCACAAATAGTAAAATTTTGTTTTTAAAAAATTTTATACACAGAATAACTTTTACTATTTTCGAAAAAAATTTCTCTATTAAATAAAAATTAGAAAAAAATTTAAAAACTTTAGAAACAGTAAAACTTCCCTAAAAATAATGATTTTTAATAAAAACTTTTACTATATTCGAAGAAAATAAAAAAAAGTGTATAGAAATAGTAAAATTTACTATTAAAAATTTTTATTTCCAAAGTAAATTTTCCAATACTCCAAATATATAAAAAAGCCACGTTTAAAAATACACCTAAATCCCCCCCTTTTTTCCTCTTCAGAAAAAGAAAATAGAAAAAAACCAAACGGAAATTAATTAAAAATAAAAATTCAATCGACTGAAAAATATTGAGATTAATATATGTACACCTACACAATCATTTCCTACTCTCAAAATAAAAATTTTATTTTAAAAGATATAATTCAATTAATACCGCATTTCTATTATTTACACCTTACGAGAAAAATCAATAAACGTTTATATATTTTCAATTGTTCATAAAAAAAAACGTACAGGTATTATAAATATTCCATTAAAATCCATTAATTAAGTGATCCATTAAATTAACCGATAAAATATCAACGGATTTAATTTTAGAATAGCTGGATATTTCTAGATTATTATTGTTCCAAATATAATTCTGAGTTGGTTGAATAAAATTTTTCAATGTGTATTTATATATATGTCTCTTTTAGCCTTTATTGTCTTTCAACGATTTTATTTTTGCAAAAAGAAAATAAAATAAAATTTTACTTATAAAAATAAATTTTTTAACGACAAAGCATTTTAAGGAAGTTAATAAATCAGTAATTTTTGTAATTGTATACAAAAAAAAGTGTAAAAAAGTTTAATAATAAAGAGAGTATTACGAAACGTAGTGAAAACGTTTTACTTACTCGGAGAGAAAGGATTGTTACTTTGACAATTGGATTGTAAATGCAGAACTTGCAAATTTATTTTGTTATCCTAAAAATTCCGATTTGATGTAATAAAAATTATTTGGTCTAAATAAATAAATACATAAATAAATAAATATAGAAATTTATTTATTATTAAATATTAATTTTATATTTTTATTAATAAATATTAATTTATTTATTTAGTAATATTTATTAATATAATTCATAAATTTATTAATTATTAATTATAATTATAATTCATAAATTTAGTAATTAATAATTATAAATATAATTAATAATAATTAATCGATTTTAAAAATTCTTTTCTTCTCTGTGTAATAATTGAATATTAATATAATAATGAAAAATGCTGATTATTCATTTTTAATTTAATAAAATTTGTTTAATGAGCGAAAGATTTTTTTCAGATTTCTTTTTAAGTAATTTGAGTAATTTTCGATGTTTTATTTTTCAGATAAAAGAAAACAAGAGTCTATGAATATTCTAGACTGGCTAATTAAAATTTAACACAAGAATAATGGATACAGGAGGAGGAACAAACAAGAAACAAATCCGAGTTGGATTTTACGACATCGATGGTACCATTGGGAAAGGAAACTTTGCTGTGGTTAAATTGGCAAGACACCGAATTGCCAAGACCGAGGTAATAATAATAATAATAATAATAATAATAATAATAATAATAATAATAATAATAATAATAATAATAATAATAAAAAACAAATTATTTTTTTTATTATAATAAAGAAATAATAATAATGAAAGAATAATAATAAATAAATAAATAATGATGATAATAACAATAGTAAATATACTTAATAATAAAAAGTATTATTATCTATTATTATTATTTTTTTACATAAGTTAACGGGGCAAGCCTTTTATTATTAATATTATTATTATTATTGTCATTTGGATAACAATAAATAAATTGTTATTCATTATTATAATAAAAAAGAAATAAAAAATAATACCACGAATAATAATTTAAAAAATAAAAATAATTTTTAAAAATAAACGAAATAATAGATTGTTTCATAAATTCATTGAAAGTTTAGTGAACTCGTTTGGCATGCACGTGTTCATAAATAATTTATGAATATTTTTGTTCTATTTGCTATAAATTATATATGATTATCATAATATACAATTATCATTATTTGTCAAAAATTTTATTTGAAAATTTAAATTCTTATTTGTTTAAGAAAAATATTACGTAATTTTCATTCAATGTATTACACATTTATAATTAATTGTTCTCGTAAAATTATAATAATCCTGACTTTTTATGAATTTTTTCTTTGGAAAATTTAAAATTGTGAAAAAATTTCATTTTTAAATTAAAAATTTTGGTTCTTTTTTTTCTCTAAACAGGTAGCTATTAAGATTATCGATAAGACTCAACTAGATCCAACGAATCTTGAAAAAGTTTACAGAGAAGTGGAAATTATGAAACAATTAGAGCATCCACACATCGTTAAATTGTATCAAGTGATGGAAACAAAAAATATGATATACATGGTAAGAGAATTCTTTTTGACCATTTTTATTTTTTTATTTTTTTTGCAAAGAATTATAATTAGCTAATTTTTAATTTTAATTATTAATATTTTTAATTTTTCAATAATTTTAAATTTAATACAATTTTTCTCAATTTCGAATAATTTTTAAACTTTGAATTGAATTGAAAAATAAATAACTACAAAGAATTAGAATTAGCCAACTTATAATTTTAATTTTTAATATTTTTAATTTTAAATAATAATATTAAAATTTAAATAAATAATAGTATTTAAATAAATAAGAAAATTAAAATTTAATCAAATTTTTCTTAATTTCGAATAATTTTTAAAACTTCGAACAGAATTGCAAAATAAATTAAAATCAGAACGAAAAATTTAAATGAATATTAAATTGACATTATTTTTCTTCATTTAAGAGTGGAGAGTAAATTTTAAAAATATTTGAACAGAAAAAATATTTGATTCATTTGAATGTAAAAAGAATGTAGGAAATTCCAATTATCACATGTTATTTATTTACAAGAATGATGAGTATATGTTTTATGTTTGAAAGAAATGAGTCATAATAGTGTTTGTACTAAATGCTCAATTTTTTCATAACAAAATAAAAAAAAATTGAAATTTGTATCTTTTCAAACACAACTTAGTATTTAAATGTTGTATTCATAATGCAAAAAATGTTTAGTTAGTATTTAAATATTTTTTTGCATGCATAATTTTTTACATACAATGTTAAATAACAATAATGAAATGCAGTTGCAATAAATCTTGTCATATTTCAAATTTTTTCTCTTTTTACTGAAGAAAATTAGCGAAAATTTATAATTAATATTCTTTTCTTTATTAAATTTTTATTTTATCAAATATAGTAAAATTTAAGAAATTTTAATTTTTTCTGTGTCAGTTTTTATAAGATTTGGATTTAAATTAAATTTAATTTAATTTTACTAAATTTGTAAGTTTTTTTGTCTTTCACAAAAATTGATATAAAAATATATAAATTAACAATTTTTTGAAAATTAGATTAAGAAAGTTAAAAACTGCGGGAAAATTAATATTATTTGAAAAAAATTATTTATAATTATCTTTTTTTAAATTATTATTATTAATTTATAATTATTATTTTTATTACTTAACTAGCCTAAAATTATTTAGAAAATTTTTAATTTAGAAAAAAGGACTTATAAACGATGAAAATTTATAGATTTTAGATGCACTTTAATTTTATTTTAATATTGTTATTATGTAAAAAATTAAGTATGCGACAAAATAAATATTTAGATACCTACTATATTCAATAAATATTTTTTGAATGAATCAAAATTAATGAAGTACAAAAATAAATTATAATTTATAAAAATTTTATTTATTAAATTATTAAGGTCATGTTATTTAGTGGTCACGTGTTCCCATAGTGAAGTATATGGAGCACGTGACCACTGAATAACATGACCTTAATTAATAATTTTATAAACAAAATTTTTAATTTACTGAAATTAGTGATATTTTCGTGGATTCCATACCCAGAGAATAATTTTATTTAAGTATAATTTATTTGTGTAGAATAAAATTATATCTGTCTCAGAGACTACGAAATTATTTATTTGCTTTAATTAAAAATGTTATTCGATACAAACTTTTTGAAATTTTGTTTCTACAAAATAATTTGTTTTCTAAATTTTATTTCAAGCAAATAATATTTACTTAAAACGAATAAAAAGTTCAGTGGCCTCTGAGTCGAATTTATCTTTTTTTTTTTTAAATTTTATTCCAAACAAATAAAATTTATTTAAAATATAAATAAAAAGTTCGGTGGCCTCTGAGTCGAATTTTTTTTAGGTTCAATTTCTTAGCTTTGTTTTTAGTTTTAAAATTAATTTATTTGATAAATTAAAATTTTAATATTTTTTAATTAATTTTTAAAAATGTTGATATTAATTTACATTTTCTGAATTTTTTCCAGGTTTGTGAATACGCGAGCAGAGGCGAAATCTTTGACTATATTGCAAGATATGGAAGAATGGGCGAGCCACGAGCCCGATCAACGTTTGCTCAAATTTTATCAGCGGTTGAATATTGCCATTCGACGGGTGTTGCTCATCGAGATTTAAAAGCTGAAAATTTACTTCTCGATGCTCAAATGAATGTGAAAATTGCTGATTTCGGTTTTAGTAATAGATTTACGCCTGGAGAACGTTTGAGCACTTGGTGCGGAAGTCCACCTTATGCTGCGCCAGAAGTCTTTCGGGGGAAACATTATGCTGGACCGGAAATTGACGTTTGGGTAATTAACCAGAAAAATAGTTACAATTTTTTTTTTGTCTTTAGAAAATTATTTTTTTCGAGACAGATTTTTATATGATTCTAAAGTTCCGAATGTTCAACTAAAAGAAATGTTTGTCATTCCTTAACTATAATTTTACGTCACTATTGAGAAAAGTTAATTATAAAGGTTCTAAATTTTTATTTTTATTATAGTCAGTAGTTTTTAAAAATATTTCTAGTGAAAAAAGAAATTTTATTTGTTTGAACGTTCAAAATTTGTGAATCATGATTTTCGGAAATATTAAAATGAAAATTATTTCAGAGTCTTGGTGTTGTTCTCTACGTATTGGTTTGTGGAGCACTGCCTTTTGACGGTTCAACTTTACAATCATTAAGAGATCGCGTTCTAAGTGGGAGATTTCGTATTCCATATTTTATGAGCACAGGTTTGTTCCTCAACTATTCACAAGAAAAATTCTTCTAATCAATGATATGGAAGAAAAAAATATTTTTCCCATCAAATTCTTTTATTAACTTTTGTATAATAAAGTACTTTGGCAAAGTTTCTTGATAATTTTTCTAAAAAGAGTAATTTTTAGAAAAATATAATTTATTATTCAGAAAAAATTTTATTCAGACAAAAATATTTCTTTTTTTGAAAAAAATATTTCTTTGGAAAATATAAATTGTTTTTTAATCGCTGATCACAAACGTTGTTAAATTTAGGATATAATTATGTAAAATTTCGAATATAAACTTAATTTCGTTTCAAAAGAAAGCAATTTTCAAAATTGTAAAGAAAAATATGCGATTTGAGAGAGGGAGGGAAATATTTGAATATAAATGAAAATATTAATTAAAAATTTTCGAAAATTACAGAATGTGAGAGTTTGATACGAAAAATGTTAGTTTTGGAGCCATCGAAACGTTACACAATTCCGCAAATCAAAAGACATCGATGGCTCGCTGGAGCCGCTGATGCAATTTATACAACAGCTTCTACAATTCCGAGTGCACAACAGGAACCCAATGATCAAATTCTAAGACTTATGCACAGTTTGGGAATCGACATCACACGTACAAGAGAGGTAAAAAAATTTAAAATCGAATTCCGAACTACAGGATTCTGATAATACGACTATTTCCACTATTTTCAAGAAAATGCAATTTTTTTTTATTTATTTTCAAAAAATACGACTTTTTCGACTTTTCTTCTAAATATTGCAACAAAATAGAACTTCTCTGGCATAAAATGCAACTAATTTTTATTTTTCTAGTACATAACTATTTTTAATTAAAACATAATTTTATCAAAACATTCAGAAATTATTTTTGAATAATTTTTTAAAGATAATTAAAGTTTTGAAAAATATAATTAAAAAAATTTTTAATAATTGAAATTTTCTAAAATTTCTAAGGAAAATAAGTGATTTTTTTAAGTGTTTCAATTAAATTTTTGAAATCCTAATTAAAAATTTTGAAATAGTTGAAATTTTGCAAAATTTTAATGATAGTAAGTAATTTTTTTAAGTGCTTCAAATTAAAGTTTTTGAAAATCAAATTTTAAAGAATTTGACTTGCAAATTTTGAAAACAATTAAGTTCTTAAAATTATTAATGGAATGTCTTGAAATGAAAATTTGAAAATGAAAATTCAAAATTAATAAAAATTAGATTCATAAAATTACTTTAAAATATATTTTTTTTAAAGTAATTCTTAGAATTTTTTCATTAAATAATTTCTTTAAAATTCAATTAAAATTATTCAGAATTTTTCCAAATATTTAATTAAAATTCACCGAAAAATAAATATTAATTTTTTAAATATTGTCCAAAAATTCTTATAAGAAATTCAATCATTTTTGAAAATTTTACATTACAATATTTCTAAACGACTAATTTTTAGAATTTTTTAGCATAATTTTTGAGATTCCATTATTTTTCAAAAGAAGTGAATTAAAATTTTTTAAAAATCAACTTTATCTGAACTTATCATTAAAATTTTGTAAAAATCATAAATTTTAGTATTTGTAATTAAAATTCATCAAAACTTGATTATTTCTTTATATTTTTCAGTTATTTTTGAAACATTTTACTAACATTCGATTCTTTGGAATTTTTAATTTTTCTTGAATTAAAGAATCTTCAAAAAGTTATTTTTAAATATTTTTAAAGTTAATTTAAAGAATTTCATTTTTTCATTGTAATTTTTTTTAAATTTAGTTATTTTAACATTTTTGGTTAAGAATTTTCATTAAATCACCTTAATAATAACTTTTCAAAAATATAATATATAAATATATAAATATATAATTTTTATATAATTTTTATATAAATATATAAAAATATAATATAATTGAATTCTCGAAAAACCTTCGGAAAATTATTAAAAATAATTGACTTAGAGAAGAAATTTTACTTAAAAATTGTAGAAAATAATTAAATTTCGTTATAAAAATTACAGTTGTAATTTTTAGAAATAATTAAGTTTCTGAAGGTTTAAAATTAATATTGAATTGAAATCTATTTAACAAAATTAGTAAAGTTTTAAATAATTTAATTTATAAATCAATTCAACATCCAGAAAATTCAAAATGAAATTTTTGTTGCAATTCTGAATAAACTATAAACAACTTTTATGGTTTTTTGGACTTTTTTTGTATTTTTTATCGAATAACGAATAAACGACTTTTTTTGGCGCCTAAAAGTCTAGCTGGGGGATTAACTAAAATTTTAATTACTCCAAATTTTTGGAAATGCAAATTTCAATTAATTTTATTTTCTAATCGAATTTTTCTTGTTTTGCAGTCATTGAGGAATAACAGCTATGATCATCACGCGGCAATATACTTTTTACTGTTAGAACGAGTAAAACAACATCGGACCAGTAATTCCAACAACAGCTGTTGGTCTTCAGTGCCAAGACAAAAAGAGGACAAATACAAATCAAGGTATGAATATTTTTTCCGAAAGCACATTTCTTAATTCAATTCTTTTGCACAATTCACAAGTTTTTCGAACACTTTCCTTAATTTTTTCAATTTTTTTCTTTTTTTTTCTTGTTTTTTTCTCTTTAGAATCTTGCACAATTAATTTCTTTAAACAAAAATCCAAAAGTGCAAAGAACCTTGCACAATTAATTTTTTTAAACAAAAATGTAAAATTATTAAAACTGAACAAGAAACAAATTTTTTTCGAAATGAAACAAAAAATACAGAAAGCGTAAAGAAAGCAGAATCAAGATTAAAATATTCAAGTATTATTAAATATTATTCAAATATTCTATATAAATATTAGAATTTGTGTAAAAGGATTGAATGTATCAAGAAAAAGAAAACTTCCAATCCTGCCTGCTAAGAAACAATCGACCAACTCCTCTGATACATTTTGACAATTATTTTATTTATTGATTTATTTATTTCCAGCGATAGCTTAGTGGGACGTTGAACGTAAATGATGATGCAGAAAATTGGAACATTTTTCAAAACAGGTTGGATTGGAAGATCGATGGCTGTCTTTTTCTGTTTTTGGTAATTTATCATCCTTCCCTAAATAAATCCTCTTCAATTTTTATTTTCATTATTTCGATTGTGTTAATTTAAATCTTCTTCTTCTTCTTCTTTCGTTTTGATCCTAGTTTTTCTCCAATTTTTTTTTCGATAATTAATCTCTAGCCAATCGATGATAATCTAATCTCTATTTTGTCATAAATCTGTTCATTTTTTTTTTAATGGGGTCATAAATCAATTAGTAAACTTAACACCAAACTAAGTTCAGAATTAACACAAAACTAACACAAAACTAACTGCAAAATTAACACAAAATTAAGTAGAAAATTCACTAAAAGATAAAAAAGTTACATTTACGAATTTTGAAAAAAATTGAGATTTGTAAATATCGATTGCAGAAGGGAAGAAATGGTGAGAGCAGGAAAAAGATTCAGTTCAACGAGTTCGTCAACGGACGAGGGATGCTGCAGTGCTGAGGGCGATTTGGAAGAGGGTCCAAGTGGTGATGAATTGAGGGAGGCGCAGATTAAATTAGAGGAGCACAGATTGGGTCTGGATCAAGATATCAGTCAGAGAATTGATAGTCAAATTGTTAATAAAAGGTTGAGTGATTATCAGCAACATCATTTTGATGGTCCAATATTGGACTCGGTGGAATCATCAAGTAGAGCTGTGCTTTTCGCGACTGGTTGCAGTCGCGGTAGTTCATCATCAGAATTATTTGAATCCAGTTTTGACTCTGGCTGTCCACCCGATTATTCAGTAACAAGTGCATGTTTCACGAGCAGTTTGCCCTCCTGCACGCCTCCAATACCACAAAGTCCATCTCCTGTAGCTAGAATATCAAGAGCCTCTCAAGGAAGACGAGCTTCTGACGGAGGTCCAAGATTATTATTTAGTCAGCAAGGTGGCGGCGACAGGCCCGTCAAGCAGCGAAGCATTCAAGGTAAATAGAAGAAATTAATAAAAAAAAAACCCCCCAAAAAAAGCATCTGTAGTCTTGATTAAAAAAAGTACTTGAATGCACCTATAAATTTAGTTTGTTGGAGAAAAAAGACACCAGAGAAAATTTCATCTTCAAATTTAACAAAATATTCAATCCATTTTGCAATCAGATTTTAATTTCTAAATAAAAATTCCAATAGTCAAAAAATAGAAACGTAGAAAAAGAAAACTCAAACGAAAACATGATTTCAAAAGGGACGATAATTATTTATATTACGATTATAATTTTATTTACTTTTTGCCTATAAACTCGAATTCTTCATTCACAATTAAAAATATTCATTTATTTATTTAAATGTAATTTTGTTACAAATAACGATATAATAAAACGTTTCAGACTCGGGAAAGGCAAGAGGCCACTTGGATCTTGTACATTTGAGATCGCCCTCAACACCACCGCAAAATCATCAATCACATTTCAAGACGCGGGCAGAATCTGGAACTCAATTGCAATTATTGGTCCAGCAGAGAGTGCTCCAGCAGAAGAGAAATTTATATCACAGACACAGAAGTGGCGGTAGTCCAACACCGATTCCTGTGCCTTCGACTGGTTTCTCCCGATTGGGTGATAATGTTTCACGTCAAGATAGCTATAAATTTGCTCAAAGAATGCAAATTTTACCCACATTGTCTCAAGAGCATGGAGACGATGATTTTGCAAGAAAAAGAGAACGCGAGGAAGAAAGGTGGAAGAGTTTGCCGTCACGTTTGGCGGCAGATTGTCAATTAGCCGAAAGAACACTCCTATGGAGTCATCAGGTAATCTCATAGTGAGCTTTAAGTTAAGTACTCTAATTTCAGTGCAGTTAAAATTCTCAGGATTGAATTTTTTATTCAGCAGGGTTGACACAAATATTTAATTTTGTTTTTCCTTGACTATTCCCTGATTTCCAGAGAAAAATTTTGACTTTTTCTCTGACCCTAAAGAATATTCTGATTCACTGTAAAAATTATTAATTAATATTTAATCATTATTATTTTTCCATAAAAAAAATTTTTTTTAATTTTTAATTCAAATCTATTGAAATTAACAATTTATCAAAATTTTATTGTAAAACATGAAGAAATCGATCACTCCGAGTCTTCGACTCGAAGTGATCGATGTCTTCATGTCTTATAATAATTTACATTACCATAAAATTTTTCAAAAAAAATTTAATTATTTACAAAAATTTTAATAAAATTCCACACAAGAATTCAATTATTAGTACAAGTAGTAAAATTTCTCAAAAGAATTCAATTATTTGCAAAATATGTAATAAAATTCGTTGCAAGAATTCAATTATTTACATTAATAATAAATCGATTATTTGGATATTCATTTTTAAATTAACTTTTATTAGAAAACTTTACAAAAATTCAATTATTTAAATTCAAAATAAAATAATTTATTGAACAATTAAATGTTCGTTAAAATTGAATTCTCACAAAGAATTTTATCAACAAATTTTTAAGCAATTGAATTCTTCTAAATTTTAATAAAATTTTTAAGAATAATTACTTTTTTCGAGGAATTTGATTAAATTTTATAAAAAATAATTAAATTCCTGAGAACAGTTTTATTATTTATAAAAATAATTGAATTATTGCAAAAAAATTTTTAAAAAATTTGTAAATAATTGAAATCCTTAGAAATTTTTATTATTTATGAAAATAATTGAATGTTTCCGTAGAATTTTATTATCTTAATAAAATCTTTCACAAAAATTCAATTATTTTTGCAAGATAGTAAAATTTCTTAAAAGAATTACATTATTTAAAAAATATGTAATAAAATTCGTTGCAAGAATTCAATTATTTTCATAAATAATAAATCGATTATTTGGAAATTCATTTTTAAATTATTATCTTTTATTAGAAAATTCTACGAAAATTCAATTATTTAAATAGAAAAATAAATAATTTATTAATTATTTGAATGTTTGTTAAAATTGAATTCTCATAAAGAATTTTATCGACAAATTTTTATTCTAACGAATTTTAATAAAATTTTTAAGAATAATTACTTTTTTCGAGGAATTTGATTAAAATTGTATCAAAAATAATTAAAATCCTGCTATGAATTTTATTATTTATGAAAATAATTAAATTCCTGAAAACAATTTTATTATTTATAAAAATAATTGAATTATTGGGAAGAAATTTTTAACAAATTTGTAAATAATTGAAATCTTGAGAAATTTTTATTATTTATGAAAATAATTGAATGTTTGCGTAGAATTTTATTAAAATTTTTTTAAATAATTGAATTTCATCGAAGAATTTTGCTGTTTATAAAGATAATTAAAATCATGACGAGAATTTTTTTTTAATTTTTGAAAATAATTGAATTTCTGAAAAGAATTTTATTACTTTTGAAAATAATTTTATTCTCGTGATTAATATTGTCATTTATGAAAATAATTCAATTTCGCAAAGAATTTTATTAAAATTCTTGAAAACAATTGAATTTCTGTGAAGAATTTTTATATTTATCAAGATAATTGATTTCTTTCGAAGAATTGCGTTAAAATTTTGGAAATAATATTAAATACATATTAGAAATTCAACTAATTTCAACAGAATTGAAATTAAAATTGTATTAAAAATATTAGAAATTCTGCGATGAATTTTATTATTTATGAAAGTAATTGAATCCATGTAAAAAAATTTGTTTATGAAAATAATTGAATTATTGATAAGAAATTTATAAAAAATTGTAAATATAATTGAATTACTGTGAAATTTTTATTATTTATAAAAATACTTGAAATTTTGATGAGATATTTAAAAAAAATTTTGAACATAATTGAATTTCTGCGAAGAATTTTATTACTTTTGAAAATAATTGAGGGGCTGGATGCTATAATGTGTTACGCGCCATGTTAAGTGAATGGCGCGTAACACATTATAGCATCCAGCCCCTCAATTGAATTTCTCCAATCATTTGTAACTTTTCCAAAATTCAATTTTTTTTTAGTATTTTTAATTAAAATTCTTCTATAAATTCATTATTTTCAATAATTAATTAAATATATTAAAAAATGTAACTAATTTTTTGAATTATTAAAATTTTTGAAAAATCCAAGTTCATTATAATTTCTAATTAAATTCATTCAAAATTGAAATTTTGTAAAATTAAAAATTAAAAATTTTTGAAGTTGATCTATTTATGAAAATTGTAAACGCAATTCTTGTAAAATGCAATTAATTTAAATATATTTAAATAAAATTATTCATTAAATTTTTTATAAGTAATAATTTTGTGATAGCTCCTCTTCATGAATTAAGTTATTTTAAAAGAAATTATTGTGAGAAATAGAAAAAATTGAAGGTTTTGTATTAGAATTTGTAGTAATTTCATAGTTTATACAAAAAAAACATCAAAATTCAGAGTTTTCTTATGAATTTAAAAAACTTAATTTTTTCCAGTACTTTTACTAAAAATCTCTTACTTTTTCCTGATTTCCCTGACCAATTCTACTTTCCCTGACTTTTTTCTGAATTCTCTGATTTCCCTGACCTGTGGCAACCCTGATTCAATATTTCGCTTTTAATAATAAAACTCTCGAGTTTCAATAATAAATTATTATTATTACTACAACTTAATATTTCGTAATAATAAATAGATAATATTCATTTTTTTATTCGAAATAGAAAGAAAGAAGAAATGAAATTAAAATAAAGTACAGAGTTAATTAAAATTGTACCAATTATCTCAAACTGAGTGAAAAATGAAATCAATAGCAATTCAATTCCTGAAAATTCTAACTTGTTTTCATTAGCATCATGAGAAAAATTAGATAATAGAAAAAGGAAAATTAGTTATAAATTAATCGTATTCTATTTTAAACACCCTTAGACAACGAATTGTTAAATTTTCATTAATTTAAGAAATTTTTCATTTTTAATTAGAATATAGACACAATTCACGAGTAGTAGTTATGTAGCATGTGTTTTTTAATTTCTTCACGAGAGAAAACCTCATTAGCTCACAAAACTACATATCCAAACACGAACGCATTTTTTTTTTAATTTGCTCTTATTTAAGTTCCCTTTTCTGAAAGAAAAAAAAACCTCAATATTGAAAAAAAAATTCAGACGAGGCGATTTTATTGTATATTACCGAATATTTTACATTATTTGTATAACGATCACACAATCTATAGCTAGTACCTGCATTCTGTTCCTAAAAGCGATTTGTTTGTTTTGAATAAATGATTATTTTTCTTTATGCGTTACAAATTATTCTTATTTGCCTTTAATATTCCTTTGCCCGTTTCTCTCACTTCATTCAAAATTATATTTATATAACTGTATATTTGCGAAATTATTTATTTTTGCATATAAAAATTTGTGACGATTTCCAGGAGTATTTTCAAATGAATGTAAAAAAAGAATTATAAAAATTAATGGGAAATTTGACATTAGGTGGGTTTGGGAGGAGGCGCATCATACTTACCACCCGGAAGTGTGGGTGGTTTCTTATGGCCTCCAGGAAGCAGTCCTCACTCAACGATTTTTGAAAATGTCAACGATTCAATGGAGTGATTAAAAGTCTCTACTTTAAATTTTAAAAGAAAAGAAAAAAAGAAGAAATTTACAAAGATTTTTTGAAATCAATAAGAAAATATAGCCAATTATCCAGGCTGAATAACTGTGGTCAATATTTATATAGATTTTTTCATTCCACAAGAATATTTGTAATTATTTTCTACAATATTTCCATTTTTTGACATCGACCAGAAAACATTTATATATTTTCTTTATCGTAATTTTTAATTAACAAAAATACTAGATTTTCAGAATTTATTCCAATATAGTCAACGTCGTCTTTCCAGATGTTGATTGCTTATTTATTAAATTTTACGATTTTACAAACTTTACTTTCTTTTTTTTCTAGAGAGAAATGATAAATAATTTATGAAACGGCTGATGGCACGTGCTACCAAAATGTTATCGCTAAAAATATATATATATAGAATAACTATAATCTTTAGGGTCTCTTAGAGTCTCTTCACGCATTCATGTAGGGCATGGTCATCAAAACTGTGCTTTCTTGAAATTTATCGCGGCGATATAGTCGCGATGCGACGTCAGCCGACTTTTATCAATTTTCTTTTTGCAAAAAAAAAGAACAAACAAACATTCAACTTACGCAAAAGAAATTTAATCTTCTTCTCGCAAAAAAAAGTATCACGTAATATTTTCTTGCAATTTTGAACTTCTTTCCGAATTGTAAAAGCAAATATTATTAAAAACAAATAAAAAAAAATTAAATATTTTACATTAGGCTCAAAAAATCAGATAAATTTTTTAAAAGGTGTCCTTTAAATTCAGTGAAATTGTAATAAAAAAAATTTTAATTTTACACTATTTTAAGGGCGTTCATCCAAAGAAATGCAAAATTAAAAAGAAGTCAAATAAAATTTAAAGATTCAATTTTTATAACTAATAGAATTTTTTAGAAGAATAAATTAATTTTCAAGAAATTTAAAACCTTCAAAATAAATTTTTACATAGTCGATTTTTTTCTAGAAATTAATTCTTCTAGAAAATATAAAAATAATATTTTAAATTAAATTTTTATTATCAATAGAGTTTTCGGAAGAATAAATTAATTTTCAAGAAAAGAAATTTAAAACCTACAAAATAAATTTGTTTGTCAATTTTTTATTCTTGAAAATTAATAAATTTCTTTCTCTAGAAATTAATTTTTCCCCAAAATAGAAAAGTGACATTTAAAAATTTAATTCTTATTATCAATAGAATTTTTTGGAAGAATAAATTAATTTTCAAGAAAAATATTTAAAACCTACAAAATAAATTTTTAGATTGTCGATTTTTTTCTAGGAATTAATTCAATTAGAAAATATCAAAGTAATATTTGAAATTAAGTTTTCATTATCAATAGAATTTTTGTAAGAATAAATTAATTTTCAAGAAAAAAAAATTAAAACCTACAAGATAAATTTGATTGTCGTTTTTCTATTTGCAAATTCTATTGGATGAATCGCCTCAAGTGGAGAAAATTATGTTAAAAAGAAAAAATTTCTTAAAGACTTTTTCTTAAATTTTCTAATTGTTAAAAAAATTCTTGCACAATTTTCCCCAAGAAGGAAAATAGTGTCTTGAAGTACAATTTTTTTCTAGAATTTCACTGAAAAAAAGGTGCATTTAAGATGAAAATCAAATTAAAAAGGGAATTTTTTTCTTTTCGTAATATTCGATATTATTAAAATTGAAATTAATAATATCGTAATATTCATTTTTAGATTCTTAGATTATTTGTTAAAAAAAATTGTCAGTAAAGAGCAAATATTGAGTAATTTCAAGTCGTCCAATATCGGGTCGCGATTAAATTGTGTTGTTTATTGACGTTAATTATATAATTAATAAGAAAAACAATAATCATAATTAATGAATAATGCAGCGTCTCGAAAGGTAGCACGTACGCCTTATAATACGACTGATATATATATATACAAACAAACATATATCTATCGAATACCACAGTTTTATGATAGACTGATAATGTTAATTAAGCAACACCAAAACTATTAAAAAAAAAAAAATCGTCAAAGAACAAAAGTGACGTGAGTCTCATTTTCTAGTGTTCTATTTTGTATTATTAATTATTGCGCTTTTAGTGGTAGTGTTATAAGAACCTGGAATTGTGAGGGTTGATCTCGTTATATAATCGAGAATTAAGTTCAGATAAAGTCCAACATTCTAGTCCAATCTCTGCATTTTTTTTTCTTTTTGTATTAAATTCAAAGATGAGTGAAAATTTTGTCAGAAAATGGAGGGGAAAAAAAATTCTTTCTGCTCATCTTTAATTTTTATCGACTGCCACAATTTGTAAATATTTATATAGAAAATTTGTGCTCAAAGCTCGAATAGTTATTGTTACGAATAGTTGTTTCAAGAATTTATCAACGCAGTGATTCTGGCTGCGAATGTAGGATCTTAAAAAAAAGGTACATATTTGAATGAAACTCACGTCACAAAATACGATAAAAGAGTGGAAACAAAAAAAAATTGTTATTAAAATAAAAAATACATCGATCGCCTAATGATACGTACAAAAAAAAAGAAATAAATAAATAAACTTCGTCGTGTCTCTTCCACTCTTAATAATAGTGTCCAAATATTTAATGATGATAATAAAAGTTGCAATTAGTCTTTAAAAAAAAGTAGTTGATGCAAAATATAAAAAAGATTAAAAAAAAATAGTCTTTCAATAAAATCAGATAGCTGGAAAGTAGTTAAATAATAATAAAAAAAGAAATATAAATATAAAGTTAAATAATCGAATATATAACTTTATATAATAAAAAATTACAAAAAAAATATTAATTTTTGTCACGAATTATCCAAGGACTATCTGATTCTATTGAAATTTAGCGAAGAAGGAAGAAGTGTTGCGTTCTTTAAATTTTTTTTACTGTTTTATGAAATACTAATCAATATTAAAAATCATTCTTAGAATAAAATAATACAAACATCATGTCTATTAAAAAGAATATATAGAGCCGGCTCAAAAAAAAATTGCCACTTTTTGATAAATGTAAAATAGAATATTTATTCCCGAAGAAAAAGACTTAAAAAAAGCGAGAATAAGGACTAAATGGAATTTATTGGAATTTTTCTACAATAATCGAAAAATCTACATTAAAAAAAAAAAACCTTTTTTCATCAATTGTGATTAGTGAAGAAATAATTCGCAATTATAAAATATTCTCTAATAGTCAATTATGCTTAAATAGTCCAATTATTTCCATGAGAATTTAAAACGAACGAAAAATGGATTAATAGAAATAATAGAATTAACGAAATATTATTTCAAGAAAAATAAAACAATTAGAACAAACTTAATCGAAACTTAGTATAATTTTCACCATTTTTGCAAATTTTCAAACCAACGATTGGATTTTCCATCTTTTTATACATTCACCCTGAAAAGTTTACAAAACTCGCTGCCTTATGGAATTGAGCCGGCCCTAGTTGGTTAAAAAACAAATAGTGAGAACAATAAAAAAATCGTTGAATTTATAAATTTAAATGAAAAGAAAAACTAACTGAAAACTATTAAAAAAAAACGTTTATAGAAGATGGACAATCGATGAATAATTTGAAACCAAAAAAAAACAAGGTACATATACTTATTACAGTGTTAGAATTTACGAACTCGAAAAAAAAACACTGAAGACGTCACTTCTTTCTATACATACGAATAGTTGATAAAAATATAAATTGTAAAATGTAGGTCGATAGTTGTATTAGAAAGCAATTTACCGGCCACAAAACATAAACTATAACAACGACTACCATATTCGAATTCTCCAGAATTTTTTACCCATCATGAAAGAAATAAAAACAAATTAATAAAGAAAAAAAACAATCAAACTTCGCTCAAGAATCTTTTTGATAAACGCATCAATAGATAATAAGTTTAAGCTTAAATCTCGATGAATCTATCATTCTCACTACAGGCAAAATAAAAAAACTCTTCAATAACCAAAAAAAATCAATTATTTGTGAAATATTTTTAAAGGTCAACTCTTCATAACTAAAAAGCCCTCGACACTTGGACAATACTGTGAGAAATATTTTTACAAAATAATATGAAACCGAAAAAATTCTATTATCATCGTGAAACGAAAAAAAAAATGATGTTTGAAGGAAACAGAACAAAAAACTAAAATTTAGATTAAGTTTTATTTAGAAGTTCGACAAAAGTTCATAAAAATTTTCTTTCTGCTTTTTTATTTTCAAAAAATAACTTAAAAAAAAGTGAAAAGAAAATTCTGAACTTTGTGAACATTTATACCTATAGAAATAAAAGAAGCGAAATTTCCATCGAGATTTCCAGAGAATATTTTTCTTTCAAACCCAAAATAAATTTAATTTGTCAATTAATTATGTGAAATTTTACTTATATAGGAGAAAATCAAACCTTCGTTGCCTTTTTAGAATGATAGCATTCTAAGAATAATTTAAATTACCAATTCTTTTTATAAACTGATGGAAGAAAAGAAAAAAAAATATGTTAATTGTTATTTTTTTTCTCAATCAGCAAAAAGAGTGCTGCAAGATTTTTATGGGTGCATTTGTTACTTTAAATCACTGTCTTTTTGTACATGGTATGTTCGTATAAAATATGTGTAAGAAAATTATTTCTTGAACATAAAAATTGCGTAGTCAATAATCATATGTATTTTTTAAAGTAATTATTTGCTATCAATGTTAAAAGACGAAGGAGAGAAGTAGAAGAAAACGAAGACGAAGAAGATGAAGATGAAGAAAAATGGGAAACGACCATATCAGAATGTAAAAAAAAGAATGGACAGAAAAATAATTAAGAACGATAGTAAATAAATACTATTTGTAAATTATAGGACTGTCAATGATGTATACAAGTGGATTTAGCGTAATAAAAATAAAATCTGTATGAATTAAAATCGCCTCTTTTCATTATTTGAATTTATGGATTTAAATCAAAATTCAGACTTCGCACTCAATTTAATTCATTTTAGAAACAGTAGCAAAAAGTAGTTTTAATATTGAAAAAAATAGTAAAAAAAAGTGGCTATCGAAAAATAAAATTTATTGTCTAAAAATCTAGTTTTTATCGATTCACAAAACTTACAAAAACTTCATTCTGTATTTTCCTGACTTTTTCCTAATTTCCATCAAAAATATTCATTTTTTTTATTCTGATTCTACTTTTCTAAAATTCAATTATTGTCCAAATTTTTTCATTTAGAATTCTAAAAATATACGAAAATAATTTTTAAAAGTAAAAGAAAAATTCTTTAAAATATAAAATTTATTTCAATTAAATTTTACAAAACTTCCAATTAATTGGAAATTTAATTTAATCTTTTTAAATTACTTACAGAAATTTAATTATCTTCAAAAAATTTTAATTACGATTTTTCAAATTGTTTCCCAATACTCATTTCTTTTTCATAATTTCTAAATAAAATTATTAAAAACTAAAATCATTTTTTTTTAAATAAATAATTAAATTTTTATTTTTTCAAAGAAAGTCAAATTTTTAATAATTTCAGTTTAAAACTGTTTTGAAATTTAACTATATCTAAAAATTACAACTGAAATTCTTTTAAAATTCAATCTTTTTCTTATTTTTAATTCTTAAATTCTTATAAAGAAATTTATCAAAAATTTTGAAAATAATTGAATTCTTTTCAAAAATTATAATAAAATTTTTAAGAATAATTGCAATTTTCGAAGAATTCATTTAAAATTATATTAAAAACAATATTTAACTAAATAATTGAATTCTCGTAATGAATTTTATGAAATTTTTTTAAATTATTGCATTTCTGTAAAAAATTTGATTATTTATGTAAATAATCGAATTCTTACAAAAAATTTAAGTAAAATTTTTAAATAATTTTGAATTTTTTACTCAAAATTTAAAAAATAATTATTCTATTCTTTCCAGGAATTTAAATTACAATTGTATTTTGAAACTGTATTCTAATGAACAAAATTTAAACAACATTATTAAAATTATTTTTTTTCAGGGAATTTTATAAAAATTTATTTAATTATTGAATTATTTCGAAAACTTGTAATAAAATAGAAGATTTCGAAAGTAATTGTATTCTTTCGACGAATTATAAAATTTATGACAATAATTATATTTTTATAAACAAATTCTATGGAAATTGTTTAAAATACTTGACTTCTTTTGAAGAATTTTATTACAATATTTATCTATTTTATTTTTAAAAAAATAATATATTTCTTTTAAAAAGTACTCTTAAGTGTTTTTTTTTTAATAATTGAATTTTTTGCCAATTTTTATTAACATTTTTGAAAATAATTGAATTTTAGTGAAAAATTTTATTTGTGAAAACAAAATTGAATTCCTATAGAGAATCTGATTATTTTTGAAAATAATTGAATTATCTGCGAAGAATTTTATTAATCACAAAAAATAATTTAATTTTTGGGAATAAATTTTTCTGAAAATCTTAGAAAATTAAATTTTGTTTGAACAATTTTCTATTAGAAATTTTAATGAGTGTGAAGACTGAAAATTTCTATTCGATTATATTAAGTTTTGAGAGACGAAAAATTCTATTTAGCGAATGTCTTTACATCTGCAAAATGGAAATAAGTTTTCTAAAAAAAACTAGTTTTCCAGAAATGAAATATTCGTAAAAAGTTAAGAAAGAGCTATATTTACCTAAACTTTATTTAAGAATATTATTCATTAGTTACTATTGTTGTTTAGCCAACGACTTTTATATAATATAAAACTCTTAATTTTTACTCTTAATTTTTTAATTTTATAGCAGCATCAGCTTTTGCCTTTTGTAAACTGTTTTGAATCCTTTTTTGGTAAATGTCAATAACTTCCTGTTTGTCAACTTGAAATATATCGGCACCAGTTTTTAAACTTTTATTTTTTGCTTCCTCTGCTGTGAGTTTTTCCTCGTTGCTTGGATTTAGTGATTGACCATCAGGAGCTAATTGTTTGTTATGATAATCGTCTACAATCTTATTTAAGTATACTGCATTAAATAAATCCTGGGCAGTAAATTCACTCTGATATACGTCTTCAGATTCATATGTGACATATGGCTTTAAATTACAATCCTTTAAATCAGGAACAATAAGTTCTGGTATCATTTCCGGAACTGGAATGTACTTTGTCCCACTTCTATATCCAGAATGTTTTACTCCCCGTGCTATAAATATTTTATTAATTAAATTCCTAAGTCGATTGTTTTCAAATTTTATTTATTTCTATTTCAAATTTTCAGATTAAAATAATTTTTTTTTTTACTTTTAGAGATCTTTGATTACTAATCTCGTCTTTTAAAAATTAATTTTGGTTAGAAATTTCTTCCAAATTTTGAGAATTAATTTGTCCGCGGGTTAAAAACAGACGGAAAATTTGTTACCATTTTAGAAATAAAATCGCTAATTAACATTATCATATTCTTCTTAATAATATTAGTTTTTGTCTCTAAAGTTTCGAACGTTTGAATATTTTTATCACTTCTTTTACGAATTTTATTCAAAAAATAATGTTTTTTATAATTAAAAAATCATTTTTAACTAAATAAACAATCAATTACAATATTTTTCCATTTCAGTTTAGTACTTTTTAAAAATATTGGAGCACAAAAAAATATTTCGTTCTTTTCGAAAGTTCAAAACTTTAGAAAACTTTTTCTCTTAAATTATAAAAAAAACAAAGAAAATACAACTTACTATAAAGTGGGAGTTCTGGATTTGGACCTGCTTCACGTTCTCTGTGAAATCTTGATCCTCTTTTACCGTAAAGCATAAATTTTCGGAAATTACGTTTTCCATAGTTTGCACTTGATGTAGAAATTCCTCGACTTATAATCAAACATGCCGAAGCCATTTTTATTTGTAAATCTAAAAAACAAATTTAATTATTATAAAACTTCCTGATCTTGACTATACATATTATTTATTATAGTTTATTATCGCTATTATTGTTATGAATTTATGAATATTTTATTTTTTGAGGTTATGTTCGAAAATCATGCTTGAACCACGAAACTGGGAAAGAAGATTAATTTAATAGATTTTTTATAAAATCTTTAAAGAATAAAGATCACATACCTGCACACTATAAAAATAATAATCCTTTTACAGAATTTAACTGTAGAAATTATTAAATTCTATGTACTTTTACTACTTTAATTGCGGACGATCGGTGCAAAATTGTACACTTAGTTTTCTAATATTTTGAACATAGAAATAACGGATTGTTTACTTTTTAGACTCTAATTTACATCTCTAGATAGTAAAAATGTAATTAAAACACCTGCTATTAATAAAAGAATACAAAATGTTTGTAATAATCAACAATAATTACGCGCACTTGAAAGTTAAAACTGTGTATGCTATTATAGCAGACGACAAACGATTAATTTTTAAGAAGTTGGCAACACTGTAGTTTTCAAAATTCAAAAATTTGAAATCAAAACTTTTGTATTACAAAATGTAAATTATTAATTTACAAAAATTAATGAATTAATTATTATTAAAAATAATATTAACTAATAATATTAATATTAATAAAATTAGTAATATGATAAATATTAATATTATTGATATTAAACATAATATTATTAATATTAAATATAATATTATTATTAAAATAATATTAAAATTAATATTCATGAAGTAATGATTTTCTCTCTCCTTTGATTAATAATTATTTTTTTTATTATTATAATTACTAATTTTCAAAAAAACTTGAGTTTTTTCAATTTAATTCTAATTTAACTTTTTTTAATTTTCAATTTAATTTAATTTTTCCCAAACTGTAAAAATTTCAGGTAATTAATAATTTAACAACACAAATTCAATTTAATCGTTTAAAATGACTTTATAAATTAAGTCTAAATTACAATCATGTCTTACAAAGTTGAACGTGTTCAAGTACACAAAGTAATTACATTTTACATACCTATACATGTAAATGTGTTAAACAATTGTTTCTGAAGATGTTCTTTCTTTCTTTCCATTTTTTTTTCTAAATAAATTTATAAAATAGTGCACAATAAATCTGAAACATTTGTTTTCAATTTAACGTTTACATAAGTAATATCATTTCTAAAAAAAAGTAAGTAAATAACTATTAACATTAAATTTTTTTCCACAGAGAAAGAACATGAAAAATAATTTTATTTTATATGAAATTTTCTTATTTTTTCAAAAATTCTACAATGCAATATACAATAGTTTAGTAATTTTCATTACTATTATTATTATTCTAAAATAACAGTACTTGATCGAGATTTCGTGAATTATTTCTACAATTCAAAGAAAAAAAAACTTCTTTTTTTATTTTAAATCAATATTTGAAGCTACGTATAGCTTTTAACTGTGAAATACAGTTGATTAAAAAAAAATTGTCAGTCCGTTGGGTTTTTAAAGTCTATTCACAAAATTTCAGTGATACTTTTCTTCTTTCTTCTTTTGCTTCTAATTCTTCTTCTTCTTCATCTTCTTCTTTTGTTGTTGTTGTTGTTCTTCTTCTACTTCTTCTTTTTCTTAAAATTTTTTAATTGTTTGGTAACATCGATTTCATTTATAATTTGATATTTCTCAATATTATAAACAAAGTACCAAATGAAATTTAATATTAATTCCAACGTGGATTTCCATGTTTTTTAGAATAAAACTTCGGTCATATATATTTTGTTCTCGTTAGTGCACTCTCTCCTTTTGTTGGATCCATCATTCGATTCCAATTTGTATGACCGACTACGAAGCCTACAGCTCTCATTTTTTCTTGCTCTTTCCGTTCTTCTAAATCTGCCCATCTCACCTGTAAATTTTAAAAACAAAAATTTTTATTTTCTCTTTTTTGATAATCGCATCTTTTATTGATATTTTTCCTAATAGTAACTTAAAATTCAATATTTATAACTTATTATTTTAAAAAAATGGAAAAAGATGCCAATAAAAAATAATAGAATAATAATTGAAAATGAGAATGAAAAAAAGTACGTACCCTCTTTTTGCCAGAATTATCCTCCATATTGTAATAATCTGGCACTTGAAGAAAATCTTCCATTGTTTGTGGCTTTCCCTCGTGTTTCTTTTTGGCTAAACCGTCCAATCGATCTGCGTACAAACGAAGAAGAAAAATTCAATTAATTTCACTATTATTTTCAAGCAAAATTTATAAAGCACTTCGAATAAATAAAAAAGAAATAGTGACCTAATTTATTTTCTGCTTCCATTCGCTCCCATTTGCTAACCCCCTGTGAAATGATACAATTGTTATTTTTTAATTAATAAATCGCTGACTTTAATATTAATTAAAATCTCTCATAATACTCTCTAAATTTAAATTAGTGAAAAGTCTTCCTCTAATTTAAATTAATAAATTTTCTACTAAATCTACTAGTTTTATTGTCCACTATTATCCGCTATTTGTAAGAAATTTAAAACTTCTTTGATAATTATAAAATTAATAAAATAGTAAAATTTTACTAGAAATTAGTGGAAATTTTCAAATTATTAATTTGAATTAGTAGGATTTAATTAGAGAGTAAAATGTATCAAAAAGAAATAAAATGTATAGCAATAAAGACATTTACCAATCCTTGATCTTCCTGACTATCCTGACTGTCCTCACTGCCTTGAGCTGGTTTCTCCAAATTTTGAACATCTTCCATTTGAACATCCTCAATGGCTGCTTCTTGCAAGAAAGTACTTGTGTCCAATTTCTGATGATGCTTCGGCGTTGGTTCAAAATAATCAACTATTCTATTGACCTCGTCCTCGGAGCGATTGTGAATATTTCTCTTCAGGCAAACTTGAACGTCCATTTCCATTTCACAGACGAACACTTTGAAACCTTTTGTTTTAGCGAAACTCCACATATCATCGTAATCGGATATTTTCTCATTAATCGAATCTAAAATAATAAAACTAAAGTAGCCATCCGTTATGTTCTTTTTGAACGCTTTCACCAGCGATGCAAGGTAACTCGATTCCACAGCTTCTTCATATTCGTAGACCATTTCCTACAGGAAATAAAGTAAATCATTCATTTTAAAAATTAAGATTAATTTTAATAATTTAATTTAATTGTAATAATATTTAAATAATATATATTCTTGACGTTGATTAATTTATTAAGTTATTAATTTCTTTAATTTATTATTCAGAAAAATTATTTGAAATGTCAATAGTTATTTTTAGATAAATATTTAATTATTATTATTATTATTTTTCCATACTCTCTAAATTTGAAAAAGCGATAAATACACCGCAGATTACAATTAGCGTGTATACGCAATGCGCAAATATCACATTTACACTAATTGGAATCTGTGGTATACTAATCACTGGGAATTAGTGAAATTTCGAAAATTCAGATTTAGAAAGTAGAAATAAAGATTTTCGAAAATTTCAAATTTTCAACCTCTTGAAATTCAATAATTTATAAGAATTACTACAGTAACTGTTTCAAAATTATTATTAATTAAAATAGCACTGAAAATAATTGAATTCTTCTAAAGTATTTTAACAAAGTTTTTCAAAATAATTTAATTCTTTCAAGAAATTTTACTGGAATTTTTAAAAATAACTGAATTCTTTCAAAGAATTTTATAACTTATGAAAATAGTACAATTCTTGTGCCCAATTTTATTAAAAATTTATTAATTAAAATAAAATTAAATAATTGAATTATGTCGAAGAATTTCATTAAAATTTTTAAAAATAATTAAATTCTTTCAATAAATTCATTAAAAAATGTATTAAAAATAATTAAATTCTAATAAACAAATTTTACCAAAATTTTAAATTGAATATTTTTGAGAAATTTTATTTAAATTGTATTAAAAATAATTGAATTCCTGCCAAGGACGTTATTATTTACAAAAATAGTAAAATATCTAAAAAAGTAAAAATCCAATTGTTTCGAAGACAGTTTAAATTATTTGGACGAATTTAATTAAAATTCTACTGAAAATAATTGAAATTTGTCAAAGAATTTCTTTAAAATTTTTAAAAATAATTGAATTCTATAAATAAATTTCGATAAAATTGTATTGAAAATAATTGAATTCCTTCCAAGAATTTTATAATCCATGAAAATATTTCAATTATTCTTGCGAAGAACTTTATTAAAATTTATGAAAATAATTTAATTACTTCAAAAAATTTCTTTAAATTTTTTTAAAATAATTGAATTCTATAAAGAAATTTTGATAAAATTGTATTAAAAATAATTGAAATCCTTCCAAGAATTTTATAATCTACAAAAAAAATTGAATTATTTCCAAGAATTTCATCAAAATTTTTAAAAATAATCAAAAAAAAATCAAGAAATTTAATTAAAAATGTATTGAAAATAATTAAAATCAAAATAAACAAATTTTATCAAAATTTTTGAAAGTAATTGAATTTTTTTGAGAAATTTCTTGGAGGAAATTAATTTCAATTATACAGAAAATAATTGAATTCTTTCAAGCAATTTTAAAAAAATTTTAAAAAATAATTGAATTCTATAAAAAAATGTTAATAAAAATTTTATTTAAAATAATTGAATTCCTATGAAGAATTTTATTATTTATGAAAATAATTGAATTCTTGTGAACAATTTTTATTAACGTTTTTGTAAATAATTGAATTGTTTCGATAAATTTCATGAAAATTTTGTGAAAATAATTAAATTACTGTGAAGAATATTATTACTTCTCAAAAATAATTTAATTCTTGCAAAAAATTTCAATATTCAAAAAATAATTCAATTTTTAAGACAAATTGTATTAAAATTTTTCAAAATAATTGTATTATTTCGAAGAACCATAAAATTCTTTCTAGGAATTTAGTTAAAATTAAAATTGAAAGTAAAAGTGTCTAAATTTTTGAAAATAATTGAATTCTTTCTATCAATTTTATAAATTTTTTTAAAAATTAATGGAATACTTTGAGGAATTTAATTTATATTGCATTGAAATTAATTGATTTCTTCTAAAGAATATGAATTTGTGAATAAGAATAAAAATTTATAAATATAACTGAATTCTTATGAAGAATTTTATTATTTTTGAAATTAAAATAAATAAAATGACCGTAAATCCTAAGAAATTATTCCACATTTTAATTAATATATTCAAATGTGTATTTTACCTTTATTACTATTTTCTTTCCATTATCATCTTTAGTCTCTCTTTCCTTTTCGACAAGGAAATAATCATCGATGCTTAAAATTCGTGGTGCCGACCCTCCTTGTTCCACTTCTTTGTCCTAAATAACAGAAATTATGCAATTAGTATAAATAAATTAATTAGTATAATTAAAATAGGTAGAATTAAAATTAAGTAGAATTAAAATACGATTTTGAGAATCAAATTGAGAATAAAAATAATTTCTTATAAAATTTTCCTTAATTAAACAAAAAAATGAACCTTAATAAGTTTTGCGAGAAACGATTTTCCGCTGCCAGGTGGCCCTCTTAAAATAATAACTATTTTTGGTGGTCTGTTCTGACGTCCTGGTTGGTACAGTATATCTTCGAGAACCGTGAATGTTGGTATTTTCGGTAGCTCAAGTGTCTTACTTTGACTATCTGATGTAATTTTCTTGACATCTTGACTGCTGTAACAAAATAGTGCCATTTTTTTTACTCCACTTGTTTGCTTCGATTTCTTTTTCTTTAAATTAAACATAATATTAATAATTAGGTAAATTCACATTATTGAATACAAAAACAGAAAAAAAATTTAATTATTTTGATATTGTGTAAATTCGCGGAAAGCTCAACAAAAATTCTTGAGCACTATTACATATTAAGATACTATATAATGTAAGAGCTACTTAATTATGTCGGTTTTTGCAATATGGTTAATATAATAAATTGATGAATCAGAAAATTTTCTGACTTTTAAGTCAAATTTTGTCTTGTTCATTAATGTCGCGCTTTGCGCGTTTTTTTCTTTTTTTTTTAAATTGAAAATTCAAAGCTAACGGGAATAAAAGACAATTGTCTTTGTTAGCCAATTTAAGGGTCAAGAGAATTTGTTCAATTTTCGATTTTTGTTTGTTCATTTTGGTAATTAAAAAAAGGAATTAAAATGCATATTTGTAAAATATGAGACAAATTGCACTTTTTTCTGGATTTTCTTACAATTTTATCGCTTCTTTTACGATAAAAAGCAAATTTTCGTATTTTTCCTATAAAAAATCAGGTTTTCGTTTCTTTTAAGGACAATTTAAATATTTTCATAGAAGGATAATATACAGTAAAATTTCGGGTCAAATTTTAAGAATTAAGAAAATATTTTGGGTAAGAAATTTTTCAAGGAGAGAAAAAATTTCACTTTCTTTTAAAAAAATTGTTTCGCCGAATTTTTACTTGAAACTTTTGTGAAATCAATAATCTACGAAGGAGCAATTTCACATTAAGAGATATTAAAAATTTTTTTTCTTAATTTATTATCATTATAATTAAAAAAATTTAATTTTTCTTTACATGAAAATGTCTCGGTAATTTCTTGTAAAAATTTCAAGCAAAGTGTCATGTGTTTAGTTTTCTTATCTTAAGTAAACAATTATATTTCGCTTGAAGTAAAGGTAAGAAAAACTTCTTATTTTTAGAAACGAACCTTAAAAGCATAAATAAAATAATTTACTTAAAATCAATCAACTAAACTATTATTATCGTTTTTTTCAAAAACTTGAATTTCATTAAAAACAAAATTCAAACATCCGCAAATGGATGGAGTGAGGAGGCAAAAAGTGGGAGAAAAATTCTTTTTTCCATTTCTTGGGGGCTTATCAAAATACAAATAATACAAATTCATATTTTTTGCAGGAAAAATTTGTCGTAAATTTTAAGTAAAGCATAAATTATATACTCATTTATCTGAGTATCCATGTTGTGTTAATTCAATTGAATTAAAAATTAATTTTAACGCTTAAAAAATATTCTTGAGAATAATTTTTCTTTTTCTTTAAATATACAATACACAAAAAAGCGTACCTGGAATCCACCAATGAAGTGTCTGAGGTTTTCTTGCTCGGACTGTCCTGCCAGCTATTAAACTCCGATGATCTAATAAAATGTACACTTTTTTTTTAAAAAAATCATTTTTCATAATAATCTTGGGAAATTTTTTTATATATGGATAATCTTCTGTTTTTTTCTATTTTCTATTTTATCTATATTCTCAATTATCTCCGTTAGCAACATTCTTGATTTTTTTAAGAAGGATAAAATTTTTTTTTAATACACAAACGAATTTTGTATTAATTTTTCTTTTTCGCTTCTTTAATATTTTAATTCCTTAAAAAAAATTAAAGTGCACAAAGAACATTCAATTATAACAATTTAATGTCAATTCAAAATTGTACATATGGGAAATATATTTGGAAAATTTTAATTTTACACAAAAGAAAAAAAATCGACAATAGATAGTTACCTTTCATTTTCATTTTTATCAGATTCCTTTAAATTTCTATCATCGGCGTCCGGATTTTTCCCTGTGAAAATTAAAATAGTTAAAACATTTTTTCCTTGAAATGAATTAAAAAAATTAATTGAATTAAACAGGAATAAATATTAAATATATTATGCTTAAATAAAATTTGAAAAAAAATTTTTATGGAGATTCTTTAATTGTGCAATTTAACGTGAAATCTTTTATCCCAAAAAAGGTTTTAATCTCTTTTTTAAAAAAAAACCTTATTTTTCGACTTTTACAAAAACTACCTTTTTCCATTCTTTTTATCATTTTCATTCGAAAGCTAAGATTCTTTCCATTCTTTATTAATAAATAATTTTTATTAATGGAAAATAATTATAATATATATAAAAAAATATTTAAATAAAAACAATTTATTTTATTTTATAATAGAAACTTAATTTTATTTATTTTATTGTCTTTCTAGTTTTATGTAGAATTAAAAATGATTTCTTAGAAATTTCAAACCACATTTGTTTTAATCTGAATTAATTTAATTCTTGCAGAGGATTTTATTCAAATTTGTAAAAATAATTCAATAGTTTCAATAAACACAATCTTATTAAAATTCTTAAAAATAATTCAATTGTTTCCAGAAATTCAATGAGAATTGTATTGAAAATAAAATTGAATTCTTATAAACAAATTTTAACAAATTCTTTGAAAATAATTGAATAATTTCGAGAATTTTTGTTAAAATTCGTAAAAATAATTAAATTTCTGACAATAATTTTATACACATTTTTAAAAATAATCTAATTTTTTAAAGAATTTAATTAAAATTTCTAAAAATAATTCAATTACTGCAAAAAATTTAATTATTTCTGAAAATAATTGAATTCTTACGAAGAATTTTATTATTCTTGAAAATAATTAAATTCTTGTGAATAATTTTATTAAAATTTGTGAAATTAATTAAATAATTTTGAAGTATTTTATTAATATTTTTAAAAATACATAAATTTCTGCTAATAATTTTATTGTTTACAAAAATAATTTAATTCTTTTGAAGAATTTAATTACTATTTTTGAAAATAATTGAAGAATTTAATTAAAATTTGTAAATATAATTGAATTTATGCAAAGAATTTGATTATTTTTGAAAATAATTGAATTTCTCCAAATAATTTTATTATTTAAAAAATAATTTAATTCCTGCGAAAAATTTTATTACTTTTTAGAATAATTAAATTCTTGAGAAGAATTATAATATTTTTTTAAAATGATTCAAATTCTGCGAATATTTTTTTTATTTAAAAAATAATTGAATTCTTGCGAAGAATTTTATTATTTCTAAAAATAATTGAATTTTTGCAAAGAATTTTATTACATTTGAAAATAATTGAATTCTTGCGAATAATTGAATTGATTCAAAGAATTTATTAAAATTTGTGAAATTAATTGAATTCTTTTAAAGAATTTCATTATTTTTTTAAATAATAAATAATAATTGATTTGCTCCGAAGAAATTTATTATTTATAAAAATAATTGAATACTTGAGAAGAAGTTTATTATTTCGGAAAATAATTGAATTTCGAAAAAAAATTATGATTAAAATTGTTGAAAATAATTGAATTCTTGGGAAGAATTTTATAAAAATTTTGAATATAATAATATTTAATTAGTTAATTCTGATTTTTCTTATTTTATCAGTTCACGTAGAATTGCTCAATTAGAAAACTTGAATTTTTTATTTTCCCAGAAATTTTCTTGAATAGCACACTTCAGAAGATAAAAAAACATAATAATAATAATAATTTTATTTTCTACTCACCAGAATTGATATCACGTTCAAGGCCCCAATCTTCATCACCCCAGTCAAGATTATCCTTTCTAAAATCCACATCTTGCGTGAAGTCCTGCACCTCCTGTGCGGCACCAGTTTGCATATCGCCCTCAATTTGTTGATTAGCATCACTACTCTCAAAAGTATCCAATCTATCATCAATATCAAATCTCTCATCAATTTCCTTTCGATGATCCGCATCTTTTCTAAAATCAGAATCCTTTTTACTCTCCTCCTTCTTATTATCAAACTCCTTTCTATTCTCCAAATCTTTCTTATGATCAAACTCCTTTCTATGATCCGAATCCCTTCGAAAGTCCGAATCTTTTCTATGATCCAAATCTCTCCTATGATCCGACTCCTTTCTATAATCAGAATCTTTTCTATGATCCGAATCCCTTCGAAAGTCCGAATCCTTACGACGATCGAAATCTCTTCTATGATCAGAATCCTTACGATGATCCGAATCTTTACGATGATCCAAATCTTTCCTATAATCCGACTCCTTTCGATCTTTTCTATAATCCGAATCCCTACGACGATCATTATCCTTCCTGTAGTCATCTCTTCGATCTCTTCGATCACGATCCCTCTTGATATCACTCTCCTTCTTGTAATCCTTTCTATACTCGTCCCTATTTCTCTTGAACGATTTCTCATCATGTTCGGAAATATCATCACTCCTCAATCGATCAATACGCTTCCACTGATAATCCTGTTCGTAGGTTTTCATCTGCTCGGAATATTCCTGTAAATTTTGTTCCGTTTCTTCCCATCTGGTGAAATCTCTTCGTCCACTAATTTCATGTTCCGGCACATCGGGATGTAAATTACCGTGAGCGTAATCAAACGATTGCACTGGTGTTAAATAGTCGTGTACCATTGTACGTTTCAAGTGATTATAGTCAATTACTTTCGGTGCCACATAGTCCGTGAATTGTTTCTCCGGCATTCGACCACCATGATTGTAATTAAATTGCCTCTCGATGCAAAATTCCGGTTCTGGTCGTCTTCCACGATTTTGATTGAAAGCTGGTGGTCCTCCAGTGAATGGCGATTGTGATCTCTCAAATTGTTGTTTATTTTCCAATTCTGGATTATTTAATGACTGTTCCATTTCATTTCCTCCATCATTTCTCTCGCGATCGTCATTTTCGAAAATTACCGGCTCATTCGAGTCGGTATTTTGAAACGGCATTCTTTGATTCGGTCCCATACCTTGATTGGGAGGGATTCTTTGATTCGGTCCTTGGTTTGGTCCTTGATAGGGTCCTTGATTCGGTCCTTGATACGGACCTTGATTCGGTCCTTGATTCATTCCTTGATTCGGTCCTTGGTTTGGTCCTTGATAGGGACCTTGATTCGGTCCTTGATTCAATCCTTGATTCGGTCCTTGATTCATTCCTTGATTCGGTCCTTGGTTTGGTCCTTGATAGGGACCTTGATTCGGCCCTTGATTCGAATCACGCTCCATATTTTGACCGAAAGGTTTCCAGTCTGGCAATTTCGCACCTTTGGCTCCAAAATTTGGAGAATCCCGGTTCTCGTCGTCGGGATTAATTTTCGGTGGATCGAACGGCGAATTAATCTCCGGGGGTTTTAGCAAAGTTTTCGGAGGTTCGAACTTCATGGACATTAGCGAAGGAATCGATTTTTGACTATCACCAACAGGTTCTTCGATCCTTTGCTGAAAATTGTTGAATCTAGGACCGAAGCTTGCGTCGAATCGTCCTTGGGGTCTAAAGTCGCCTGGCCCCATCGCTCGATTATTGAAAGGTCGCATATTGTTGAAATCGCCCGGTCCTCTGGGTCCAAAAGGCGGGAAGGAATTGTCACCGGGACCGCGTGGAGGAAACATTGGCCCTCGTGGTCCAAAAGGCAGAAGGGGTCCTCTAGGTCCGAATTGATTGAAATTCGGAGGAAATTCCGAATTTGGTGGTGGGCCCTCAAACTGAGGATTTTGAATAATAGGACCTAGATTCGGTAAATCCGGTGGTGGTTCCATATTCAGGTCTTCAGGTTTCGGATCGTTTTCGCCCATGAATGGAAGATCGTTCGACTTTGTGATTGGAGCGCTCTCCTTGTTTGAATTCTCCTCTTGAATCGGTGGAACATCGTTTGGAGTATTTATGGGAATTTCTTTAACTTCTGTTTCGTCCAGGGCGGCGGTCATCCAGAGCGGTTGCTCCAGAGGGGGTATTGTCTTCGGTATTTCCTCGATAATCGTAACTTCCTCCTGAGACGCATTTTCGATAATCGTCACCTCATTGGGATCGACCGCAGCCGAAGTTTCCGTATTCTCGATAATTTGTATCGGAAAATCTTCCGGTGGTTTCAATTCTTCAACCGGTGGTTCGACAAAAGTCTTCCCTTCCCCAAAGTTAAATGGCATTCTCTGCCAACCATCGGGACCTGGTAATCTTCCACGAGGACTGAAATCCGGACCCCTAGGACCAAAGTCCGGACCTCTTGGTCCAAACTCCGAACCTCTCGGTCCAAAGTCCCTTGGACCTCGTGGTCCAAAGTTACGAGGACCGAACATTCCGCGAGGACCGAAATTATTGCCCCCACCAGTACGGGGAGCAAAATCGAAAGACTGCTCGAATTTCGGTTCGGAATCGTTATTATCCTGTTCGGAGTCCTTCCCCTCCTCTTGTCGTTTCTTCAAGAAAGGCGAATCACCCGAAATCTTCTTGAAACTCTCACGAAGTGATCCAACTTCAAAACTTGTATTCGAGGTGAAAAATGAATTACTACTCGGCTTAAAAGCGTCCATCGCCGCCTTTCTCTTCTCCATCAATTTTTTCAATTCTGGTGGCATTGTATTTTTCGCAGCCGACTCGAAATTTCTATTATTTCCAAAGTTATCACGTTTATTGAAATTATCATTCTGAAACGAATCATTCGAATCAAAGCGATCATTGAAGGGAAATTGTTGATCATTTTGGGAACCAAAACGATTTTGAGCGAAACGATCATTCTTGGGTGGAAAACGATTATTATTATTGCTATTTGGACCGAAACGATCATTTTCGTTCATACTGTCATTGAATGTACCACTTTTATTGAAAGAATCGTTGTTGAATGAATTATTGGCGGACTGATCGCGTAGAGGACCGTTAAATTCACGATTATCGGGATTGAATCTACCTTGAGGTGCGAAGGGTGGTCTTTGATTCATGGGGAAATTTTTATCATCTCCGGATGGACCGAAGGAGGTTGACTGTCGGTCGGGTGTATTGAAACCAGGAGGTGGGAGGGAAAAATTCGGCGGTGGTCCCCCGAGGTTCGGAGGTGGACCACTCATATTCGAGGGGGGTCCTGCGATGTTTGGCGGCGGACCACTCATGTTCGGTGGTCCCCCCATATTTGGTCCTCCCATATTCGGTCCTCCCATATTTGGCCCTCCTAAATTTGGTCCTCCTAAATTTAGTCCTCCTAAATTTGATCCTCCTAAATTGGAGGACATATTCGGTGGTCCCCCTAAATTAGAATTCAAATTCGGTGGTCCGCCAATATTAGAAGACATATTCCCTGGTCCCCCTAAATTAGAGGACATATTCGGCGGTGGTCCGCTCATATTTGGATGACCGGCCATGTTCATAGAACCGGGGATATTCCCTCCCGCAGGTGGAAAACTCGGCGGTGCCGTTGAATAATTCGGGGGTGCATTCGCAAAACTTGGCGGTGGTTGTGAATAGAGATTCGGTGGCGCCGCTCCCATTAATGGCTGATAGTTTTGGTAATTTTGTACTCCGGGATTGTATTGAGCGGCCCATTGCTGTGCGGCCCAGGCTGCTTGATTCATTTCGGCGGTCATTGTCGGTGGTGCCATTGATGTTGATTGTGTCGGTGCGACTGTTGGCGCCTGGGTTGGAACTACTTTCTCGTTATTCGGCGGTGGTGGCGGTGGCGATGCTGTCACTTCCTGCTTACCAGTTAGGCCGAGTGTTTTACCAATTCCCAGGAGATTGTTTATTAGACCCTGATTTTCCGTGTTCGATAGAATGTTGAGAATTTTATCACCACCGGGTAAATCCTTTTTCTTCTCTGCCTCTGCTTTCAGTGCCATTTGTTTCTGTTGTTCGCGTTTTCGTCGCATTTGTTCACGGCGTTCGATTAATTTCTCCCTCCACGAGGTCCATTTTGCTTCGTATTGTTGATATTGAGACTGTAAGGGGGAAAAAATTCGTTATTAATCCAAAGTTCAAAAAGAGTAATTTTTTTTACTATTGATTAAAAAAAGGAATTTTTATTTAAATATTATGATAATTTGAAGTGTACCTACCTTATCGGGATGATTGGCATTTTGTTGTTTCCACGTATTAAATTTTTCTTCCCACTGTTTAAACTGAGAATCAAATGTTTTTTCGGCTTCACTTAATTCTTCGTCTTCGATTTTTTGCTTTTTTGCACTAGGTTCTGAATTTGAATTATCATTATTAGTATTACTCTGTTTACCTAATAGACTCGAGTCACTTGTTTGTGTTGGCAAAGGTGGTTGGGAAGGTAATGGTGGATTAGTGCCTTGACTCTGTGAATTTTCAACTTTCGATGGGAATAGAGGTAAATTATTTTGATGAGGAGGTGGTATTGATGAATATTGATATTGATTTGAATTGTCAGGTGGTAATGGGGGCTTGGAATTTTCATCTCTTGGCAAAGGTGGCTGAGATGCTGGCAAAGGTGGCGCTTGTCTAGTAGAATTCGACATATTTGTTGCTGCATACTGCTTCATTGTTTCTTGATACTGAAACAAAATTCAAGTAAACAAATTAAATTACTTTTAAATTACATCAAAAGTAAATTTTTTTCTAATTCAGATAATTTAAAAAAAAGTACGTACAAATTTAATATTTATTTAATATTTACACAGTTTTTCTAAGGATATCAAATTGAGATATCTCAATTTAATATACTTAGAAAAACTGCGTACTTAATAATAAGGTATAATTATACAAAAGCTTGAAATTAAATTTGTTCGACAAATAAAAATTCTAATAAACTATTCAAAAAGTTCACGTTTCGTAGAAATATAAAAATTCTTTTAGATATTAAGAAGGGAATTTTTTCCTTTTTAAATTTCATTAATACCTTTTCTCCATATTGAGCTTGCCATTGCTGATATTGCTGCTGCCACTGTTGCCACTGAGCCCAATTTTGTTGTTGCGCTGCTGACCATTGTTCAGACGTATAACCACTTGGAGGCTGATTAAAATTTATTAACAAAGAATTTATAAATAAAAGAATTCCAATTGAAAATGAATTTCAAAAATAAACATGGAAAACAAATATTGAAACTAAATATATAGAAAATAAATATTACATCACAAAATTTTAAAATAAATATTAAAAAGTAGTTTTAAAACTGAAAAAAGTAGTAAAAAGTATTCGTCGAAAAATTAAATTTGACAACTAGAAAACTTTTTTTCGTCGATACACAAAAATTACCAAAATTTGAATTTGGATTTCGGTGACATTTCCTGATTTCAATAAAAAATATCCTCTTTCTTTCCAGTTCTGGTAATAATTTTAATTCTAAATTTTTATAAAATTCAATAATTTTCCAAACTTTTATAGTTAGAATTCTTCAAAAATTCGATAATATTTAAAAATAGGTACTGTTTAAAAGTAAATAAATAGATTTTTTAAAATATAAAACTTATGTTAATTAAATTTCAATTAAATTTAAATTAATTGGAAATGTAAATAAATATTTTTAATTTTTTACGAGAATTTAAGTATAATTCAAAAATTTTAATTAAAATTTTGTCAAAAGACTAATTTTTTTAAATTTTGAATCAATTCTTTTTAGAAAGTTTTACGAGAATTCAATTATTAAAGTACAAAAGTAAGTAATTGATTGAATAATTAATTATTTTTTAAAATTGAATACTTGTACAGAATTTTATCAAAATTTTTGAAAATAATTGATTTCTTTCGAAGAATTTTATCAAACTTTTGAAAAATACATAATTACATTTTTCAATCAATTTATTTAAAATTGTATTTAATATAATTGAAATCCTGTGAAGAATTTTATTATTTATGAAAATAATTAAATTCATGCGAAGAAATTTTATTAAAAAAATTTTGTTAATAGAATTTTTTTGAATCATTTTATGAAAATTTAGAGGAATAATTCAATTATTTCGAATAATTTATTAAAAATTGTATTATAAATAATTGAAATTCTTTGATGAATTTTATCATTTACAATTGAAATCCTAAAAAGAATTTTATTATTTATGAAAATATTGAATTCTTGCCAAGGATTTTATTAAAAAATTTCGTAAATACAATTTTTTTAATCATTTTATTAAAATTTAAAAGAAAAAATTCAATTATTTCGAATAATTTAATAAAAATTGTATTAAAAGTAATTGAAATTCTTTGATGAATTTTATTATTTATAATTGAATTGCTAAAAAGAATTTTATAATTTATGGAAATAATTGAATTACATAGTAAATATTAAAAATCATTGAATATAGAAAAATTTTTTAACATAATCGAAATTTTGTTAACAATTTTATTAAAATTTGTGAAAATAATTGAATCCCTGTGGAAAATTTTGTTCAAAATAATTAAATTTGTAAAAATAATTGAATTTTTGCAAAAAAATTTTCAAAAAAGATTGAAAATAATTGATTATTGTTCCAAAGAATTTTATAAAAAATTTTTGAATTATTTCTAAGAAGAATTTTATTAAAATATTTGAAAATAAATTCTTGAAGTATCCAAATAGTAGCTAATCGTAAAAAGAAGTAGTAAATAGTAGGTTTTACTAGATGAGTGCGAAGCCTGTTTTTTTTTAACAAAAGGAAATTTTGACCAAAAAAAAAATTAAAATGACTGGAAAAAAATACTTGAAATGGGAAAAATGAAAATTAAAAAAAAACTACTTACTGGTTGGCTATAATACTGCATATAAGACTGCATCATAGCCATGGGATCTGCTCCTGGAGCAGGAGCAGGATAACCAACCGGTGGTTGTGGCATTGTCGTTGCCGGCACGGGAGCTGCTGGTAGTTGCCATTGATTCCAATTTTGCATTTTGAATCCTCTGTGTTTTATTAACTACCATTCACAGTAGTTAACTCATTCCGTTGACTTTTTAAGGGTTGCTGTTCTATTTCATGTTCAGAGAAAATGTTTATTATAAAAGCATACATCGCGATTAAGAAAATATTTTTTTTTTATACTTTGATCAATTTTTTTTATGAAACGGAAATAGCACAACCTAAGTAAAAATGGATTAATAAAAAACGCAATTGTGATATGAATGAAAAAAAAGTATTGGCCTATAACACATTTCAGTGTAATTGGATAAACCACAATAAAAATCAGATCAAAATCTATTTATAATGTAATGATTAATATAACAATAATTCCTAAAAGAAACAGGAATTCAATCATTATTGTCTAGATAAAAAAAAAATATGGGTCATTACTATTGCAAAAATTTTCCGATATTAAAAATTCACAATATTTGTATGCGAATATAAAATTTATCAAGAAATACAAATATTTTTTAAAGCAATTTTTATAGACTGTTTTTTAAACAGTCTAATAGTGGGATTTTTTTGTTTTCGTTAGCTTTAGACTAACTAAAAATTTTTCAATCAGTATTTTATGGGTTTTATTCAGTTTTAAAATACCTTAAAACTAATTTGATAGAACAAAAAGTTTATCAATGTCATTTCTCTGACGGGTATATTTGTTATACTTAAAAAAAGGTCACTTAAAAATCACTCAATTGAAAAAACTATTTCAATAAATTGTTGGTAACCAGGATAACTCAAGTTCATATCGACCAAGCATGATTTCTTTCTTTTTTTTTCTTTTCTTCAAAGACCGTTGTCGACAAATAAAACTAGAGTTAATCTCAAATATGCTGCGAAAAAAATATTTCATTTACAAGTAACAAAATATTTTCTCCTTATTTTTTATACCAACAAAAATATTTTTTTTCCTGTAAATAAAAGACCTTGACAAAAACATTGTTTTAATTTGAACAAAAGTTTTTATTATTTTAACTATTAAAGCTTAACAGAAATTAAGTCAAGCAATTTAGTTGAAATATTGAAAAAAAAATTTTGCCAATTAAACGAAGTTGTATTTAAAAACAAAACAAAATGCCAATAAATTACAGTAAACAAAAAAATTTTTGTTGATGAAAAATACCAATAGAATATTTTGTTTTGTTACAAAATTTTTTTTTAGAAATATATTTTCTAAATATACCTCAAATATTTATATGCTGAAAAAAAATTTTTTTCTTATATAATCACCAAAATATTTAAAATTTTATAATACTAATTTGAATTGATTCAGTTCAGAAACAAATTATCTAAATAGTGGCAAAAAATGGATTTACATAAAAGGGTTTTGTACTATTCTTTCTATAAGAAAGAAAATATTAAATGAGCTTATGTCAACATATAATTTAAAAATCAATTTATATAGATTTATAGTGTCTCTCACGTGAATAGCATAGAAACAACACATTTATATGTAAAATATTAATTTTAATAATTAAATTTAAAGAAAATCGTTATTTTCAATATAAATATTAAATCCAGATTTAGAGACCTAACATTTTATTAGAGAGAAATTTATAAAAATTGTTCAAATAAAAATTTAACATTTATTATATGAAATATAAAATTAAATAATTATTGAACAATTTTCAAAAATTACTTTTCTTTTTAATAAAATGGAATTAAATCTTAATTTAAAAAAAACATTGAGTATCAACGAAAAAAGATATAAAAGCTGTCGAAAGTAAAATTATGAAATTTTACAATAGGGAACAAAAGTGGCGTTCAAAAAAAATGGATTAAAATTGTTAATATTTTCGTATCGAGAAGTGCAAATTTCATGCACTATTTCTCAATTTTTTTTATGTAAAATACATAAATAAACTTAAAAAAAACCGCAGATCATCAATTTCCTGTCGCTTATATAAATGTGTCAATTTTATTTCAATATAAAGAAAAAACACTTTTTCTTTTATTATTATTGATTGTCGCTATTGAAAGATTTTCAAAAACACATGTAAATTATGTGTTTGCATAAAACACTGGAATGTTCGAAATTACTTTTCATTATCTTTAAAACAAGGTATCCTTTCCATCTTGATAAAAATTAAATCTTTTAATTAGAGTGTCAATTGATCTATTTATTAGTAATTTCCATTTGGCATAGAAAAAAAATACAAGAAACATATTGTGCAAAATTTTCAATTACAACCTTGAGTAATTAAATTACAAAAAAAGATTGTTAATATTCTTTTCTTCCAAATAAAGGATTCATCCAACCCTTTTGAAACTAATTCGGTAATTAAATTTTATAAATAATATCGCAAATTCTGGGTAGTTATCTAAAAATTGTCTCTCCTTTGTAAATGCCCACATTTATAAATTGAAGAGAGATATAAAATTTTTTTCCTAAACTGTAAAATTAGTTAAATGAAATCTAAAATATGAATACTTAAATATTTTCTATTTCTTTCTGATAAAAAGTTGTTATAAAAATTTTAAATCGAGTATTGATTATTATAAGTGTGTATAAGTGGATATAAAGGGAAGTGTTTCACGAGCATCCCAAAATGGGAGACAAGAGTGGAAACGATTCTGTAAAATTGAGGTTTGCATAAAGCATGTCAATTGAATTAAGAAAATTCTTATAAACTATTAAATACAACTGCGATATACTCACAGTAATGCTTGATCTGGTTGATAATTATTATAACGAAATACACAAAAACACGGCGAATATTTTGCGCGACTCGACGAGAGACTCTTTCACTAGTAATAAATGGTGACAAAATGGCCGCCGATCAAGCCGGTTTACTTTCTAGTAACAATATGAAAAAAACTCCCTATGATTTTCACTCTTCTGGACAAGTAAATAAAACTCACGAATTTGATTGGTTTTCCATTTTCTATGTATGAGTGTCTATATTTCCCCTATTTTCTAATTTTTAATATATTTTTCCTATTTTTCTTTATTTCGAGACTAAAAATATAAAAGGACTAAAATTGAAATAATTTACAAATAGAAAATTACAAATAAGTTAATTATTAATTTGAATGTTTGTTTGTTTTTATTTTCATAACGATTGGTAGTACTAAACTGTCAGATACGTAGACAACTTCATGTCATACGTCACTAATCTAAATGTCACTTTATTATAACCTAAAAAAATTATTATTGCATATTTTACTGATTTTACCGATTTTACTCACGTATACTTGTATTATTGTTTATGTCAGAAAATAATTATTTTGACTCTCTCATTTCTACAATGAAGGTAAATATTAAATTAAAAATCAAATTAGAAAAAATATAAAGAATCTATTTCTTAAGAACATAAAGGGGGGTTAAAAAAATATTTAAATATTAAGATAAATTATAATGTTATTAATTTAATGTTTTAATTTACAATTAGTTTTTTTTCCTTATTCGACTTTTTACTCTGGCATTAAATCTATTCTTATACTGTCTTTCTTTCTCTTATAACAGAGGAGATAACCGGTTGTACGACACATGAGAGATTATAACGATTGTAAGTTTTTTTTCTTGAATTTGAAATATTTATACCGGAGCATTGTGTCAGAGATTACACACATAAAAGTGATAATGTCATCAAGTATTGCCACGTATAAATGTAAATTTCTTTTACGTGAAATTTTTCTATGGAAAGTATGATATATAAGAATGCAAGAAAAATTATTATCCAAAACTAATATCGAAGTAAATATGAATTTTCAAAGACAACCACGATGTTTTCGAACGAGTCAATTTTTTGTTATGATGAATGTAATAGCAATTACGCTCATTTGTTTATATGGTAAGTAATTTTGTATTGTTATCAATTTGAATTTCTTCTATTTTAATTATTTAAATTCGTATTTTCTAGAATTTTGTTTACAATGATTGTTATTATTTTTATTTTCAATTATTATTATTTATAATATTAAAAAATTATTTAAGTTTCAGGCCTCGGCCTCGAAATTAAATAAATTTCATCCGAGGCCTGAAGTTTATCAATTTAATTTTTATTTTTATTAAATTTTATCAATTTAATTGAATTATTAAATTTCAGTTTGGCAAGTGGAGGACGACAAGTGTAAAAGTAAACTATCATCAATGGTGGAGAATATAAAGTCATTTGGTTTATGTGAGAGATCGATAATAAATGAGAAGACATTTCGCGATTTGACAAGACTGAAATTATATAAATTGGATTTAGAAATATCGCGACAGGATAAGGCGATTTTATCAACATGTCTCAATAAAGTGGAGGAATTATTGAATTCACTGTATGAAGATGCGCCAACAATTTATGCCATAACGCCAACATTTTCGAGACCAGTGCAAAAGGCCGAATTAACACGTTTGGCGCAAACATTTCTTCTTGTTCCAAAATTCCATTGGATTGTCGTTGAAGACGCGGCTAATAAAACTCGATTAGTTACAAATTTATTGTCCACAAGTTTATTGTCATATACCCATTTGAATATTGCGACACCGCCTAATTATAAACTTGGAAAACGCGATCCAAATTGGAAGAAACCACGTGGAGTTGAACAACGTAATGCAGCTCTTCGTTGGATTAGAGAAAATTTAAGTTCTAGTCATAATGGAATTGTATTTTTTGCTGATGACGATAATACTTATTCCATTCAGATTTTTGCTGAAGTGAGTTATTCAGTTTGTTATTTAAAAGAATTATTTATTATTATTTATTTTGTAGTTATAGAATTTTTTTCTTTTTTTGAATTAATTAGAAATTATTTCTCGCAGATGAGCCGAATTAAAAAGGTCGGTGTCTGGCCTGTGGGCTTGGTTGGAGGGTTAATGATAGAAAAGCCAATTTGCGACAAGGCTACAAAGAAAGTAATTGGATTTAATTCAATGTGGAAACCAGACAGACCATTTCCAGTTGATATGGCAGGATTTGCAATAAATTTAAAACTCGTACTTGAAAATAAAGACAGTTGGTTTTCGTTCGAAGTTGAGGGCGGATATCAGGAGAGTGAAATTTTAAGGCAAATGGTTACGAGAGACGAGCTGGAACCCTTGGCCGATTTATGTACGAAGGTATCTAAAAATCAATATTCTCAATAAAATATAGAACAAAATTTTTTAAACTACGTTAACAAAAATTTGAAACATTTAAAAATCTACAGGGTTGCCACTGGTCAGGGAATTCAGGGAAAAGTCAGGGAAAGTATAATTGGTCAGGGAAATCAGGAAAAAGTCAGGGATTTTCAGTAAAAGTACTGGAAAAAATTAAATTTTTTAAATTCATAAGAAAACTGAATTTTTATGTTTTTTTTATAAACTATGAAATTACTACGAATTCTAATACAAAACCTTCAATTCTTTCTATTTCTCACAATAATTTTCTTTAAAATAATTTAACTTATCAAGAGGAGCTATCACAAAATTATTACTTATAAATTATTTAATGAATAATTTTATTTAAATATATTTAAAATAATTGAATTTTACAAGAATTGTATTTACAATTTTCATAAATAGATCAACTTCAAAGGGTTTTAATTTTAAATTTTACAAAATTTCAATTTTCAATGAATTTAATTAGAAATTATATTGAAGTTAGATTTTTTTAAAATTTTAATAATTCAAATTCTGAAATTAGTTACATTTTTTAATACTTATTTAATTAATTATTAAAAATAATAGATTTATAGAAGAATTTTAATTAAAAATACTAAAAAAAAAATTAAATTTTGGAAAAGTTACAAATGATTGGAGAAATTCAATTATTTTCAAAAGTAATAAAATTCTTCCTAGAAATTCAATTGTTTTCAAGAATTTTAATAAAATTCTTTGCAAAATTGAATTATTTTCATAAATGACAATATTAATCACGAGAATAAAATTATTTTCAAGAGTAATAAAATTCTTTTCAGAAATTCAAATATTTTGAAAAATAAAAAAAAATTCTCGTCATGATTTTAATTATCTTTATAAACAGCAAAATTCTTCGCTGAAATTCAATTATTTGAAAAATTTTTAATAAAATTTTACGCAAACATTCAATTATTTTCAAAAATAATAAAAATTTCTCAGGATTTCAATTATTTACAAATTTTTTTAAAATTTCTTCGCAATCATTCAATTATTTTTATAAATAATAAAACTGTTCTCAGGAATTTTATTATTTTCATAAATAATAAAATTCATAGCAGGATTTTAATTATTTTTCATACAATTTTAATCAAATTCCTCGAAAAAAGTAATTATTCTTAAAAATTTTATTAAAATTCGTTAGAAGAATTCAGTTACTTAAAAATTTGTCGATAAAATTCTTTATGAGAATTCAATTTTAACAAACATTAAATTATTCAATAAATTATTTTATTTTGAATTTAAATAATTGAATTTTCGTAGAATTTTTTAATAACAGTTAATTTAAAAATGAATTTCCAAATAATCGATTTATTATTTATGAAAATAATTGAATTCTTGCAAAGAATTTTATTACATATTTTTCAAATAATTGAATTCTTTTGAGAAATTTTACTACTTGTAAAAATAATTAAATTCTTGTGAAGGATTTTATTAAGATTTTTGTAAATAATTAAATGTTTTTTGAAAAATTTTATGGTAATTTAAATTATTATAAGACATGAAGACATTGATCACTCCGAGTCGAAGACTCAGAGTGATCGATTTCTTCATGTTTTACAATAAAATTTTGATAAGTTGTTAATTTCAATAGGTTTGGATTAAAAATTTGTTTAAATCTTAATTTCTATGGAAAAATAATAATGATTAAATATTTATTTTTTAATAAAACTTGATGTTTTCGAATAATTTTACAATTAACGAAATTTGTGAATAAATGTAATAGAATTTGGAGTATCTAATAATTTTTAGAATGAGTCAGAATATTCTTTAGGGTCAGGAAAAAAGGCAAAATTTTATTTGGAAATCAGGGAAAAGTCATGAAAAAAACAAAATTAAATATTAGTGGCAACCCTGATTTAATTAAATACTATATTTTTATTTCTAATAATTATTTATTTGTTAATTTATTATAAAGATATGATAATTATTTGCGATTTTTAGGTCTACGTTTGGCACACGAGAACGGAACATCCACTTCTTCGGACTGAACAAATGCTGATTAAAAAAGGGAAACCATCAAATTTTGGCATTGAAGTGTAATAAATTTACATTCTTTACTTTTTAAACTTTTTAAATTGTTCTATAAGTTTTAAAAAAATACCAATATCAAAAAGCTATTTTTAAACGAACAAATCAAATTTGGAAAAATAGCATATCATAATTAATGTAAATATTTTTTTATTTTCCAAAACCGATAAATTCTAGAGACATTCAATGAACTTTGAAAGCGTGAAATATTTTAAATATTCTCGAAAAAAAATGTTAAAAACGTCGAATAACTTCCAAGTACTCTCATTTATTAAATACTGTAAATATTTGAAATTGTGCCACAAGTATTATAGTTAAGAAAATATTTTTAATTAATTACAAATTTCTACATTTTAGAAAATAGGCGAGTTATTTAATAAAAAAACTACATAATCTTTAATTCTTGTTTATTGTTTTCTTTCAATTAATCATATTTTTTACATTTTTTTAAAACGTAAATTTAAAAACAAATGGAGGGAGAAATAAAAGAAACGACGAATTCAAAATTTCTTCCTGTTTATTTATGAGTTTTTGACTTTTTCGCATACAGAAAAAAAGCAAATACATAAAAAATATGCCCTTACCTAAAAAAACAGGTTTTTGAAAAACTTTCTCGAAATTGGAAGATTTAATACTTTTTTTTGTAATAATTAATTTTTATAGAAAGCTAGAAGATTTTTTTTCTTGGCAACGGGTATAAAATAGATGTGTTGATTTTTTTTCCCCACAAATTTTCTATTTAATAACTGTCATTCCCAATATCGTGTTTATAATTCTTGTTTTTTTTATAATTATAATAATAATAATGTAATTACCTTACAAGCTAATAAGTACTATAATATTTGGCAAAAACTTCTCGTCACATTACGTATAAAAGCTACTTTGCGTAGAAAAAGCATTCGAGTATTTGTGCAGAAATTTTCCTTGAAAATATTTTTTCTATTTCCCCATTTTTGGGGGGGAAAAGAAAACGTTGACTATTGTGCAAATTTTTTTTGGCAGTCTTGTTTTTTTTTAAATATCAGCGTAAAATTGTGCAGTTTTTTTTTACTTTTGAATAATACTTTAAACGGATGTTTTTTCCACGCTGGGATAAAAATGTTTTCTAAATATTTAATTACCAAGAATTTTTTCATTTAAAGATTATTTAACTTACACGCTAAAGGGAACGTTTACAAGCATTTACAAAAAACTTATCACATTTTAACTGTCTCCTTGCAAAAGAGCCTTCGATTTTTTTCATCTATAACTATATGACATTTTTTTTTTAATGTAAAGAATATTTTACATACAGAATTAGTTTTTGAAGAATTAAGTCGTAGGTACTATTTTGCAAGGTATACCTGAAATGCCGTTTTACTTTTCTATGAATGTTTCAAAAATTTCATTTTATTTATTTTATGAAAAAACTTGATTTTCCAAATAAAATCGATTTTTTGTCACATCCATAACGAATTCTGTTTTGCAATATACAAAACGTGTATTTATATATAGAGAGAGACTTCAATGTGTGATTCAAGAAGAGAAAAACGAGTCTAAAAAAAATAATCGTAATTTTTCTCTTCAATCTTTTGACAAACTACTGATATTTTCGCAGAAGTCCACTTTCAGTAGTGCGTACTTTTTTTTTTCTTTTAAATCAGTGCATGACTAATACCAAAAGCAGGCTTCGAATTTGAGTGATGTTTTCTATTACACTCATTTTCAGATAAAATATTTTTGTTCTTAATTTTAAAAAATGCATAGAACTAAAAGATTCGCTTTAAATACTAAAAAATATTCACAGTAGAACTTATATAAAGAAAATAATCGAAATTTTAAAATATTGGAAATTTATAAATTTAAATTACTGAAAATTCCAAAGAAGGAAAGAATTTTTCTGACTAAAAAATAAACATTGTAAAAAAAATATAGAATATTTGTTCTGTCGTGAATTTCTATAAACAAAAATTCGCTCTCTTGAATAAAAACAAAATAAGAAAAAAAAGTGTCCTTAATAACTATTTGTGTTTCTGTCACTAAAGAACACATTGGACACAACACGTTGGTGGACACATTTCCCAATCCATTTTTCCCAATAGTTAAAATTCCCAATCTTTCTTTTTCCCATAGTCAACTTTTCCCAACCTTTTATTTTCCCAAAGTTTTGTTTTCCAAAAGTTTTCGTTTTTTCAGTCTATTGTTTTCACAATCTTCAATCTTTCAACCAACCAACTTCGTATTACACTTGTCAATCTTATTTATTTCGTCTTGTCAAACTGCGTCAAAATTGTCTAGTCTTTTTCAATTTAAATTCAATTAAGTTTCCAAATTAATAGTTATAACTATTCTCATATTTTAAAATTATGAAAAAAATGCTTTTCTTTCTGTCCATAGTTCGCCATCCTTTCCCCATACTTTAAAAATAGAAAAAAATAGTTTTTCTCCATATTATGCCCATAGTTTGAAATTATAAAAAATGATTTCCTTTTTTCCCATGGTTTGCCATCCTTTGCCCATAGTTTCAAAATAGCAAAAAATAGTTTTTCGCCATACTTAGGCCATGGTTTGAAATTAGAGAAAAAATGGGTTTCTTTCTGTCCATAGTTCGCCATCCTTTTCCCATACTTTAAAAATAGCAAAAAAATAGGATATTGGAAAAAATTTGAGCTTTGGGAAATTTAGGTATTGGGAAAATCTTTCTTTGGGAATTATTGGTTGTGGGAAATATGTCCTTTGGGAAAGTTGGACTGGGAATAATGGATTGGGAAATGTGTCCTACAATCCATTTTAATAATTATAAGATTTTAAACGCAATCTTTGAATCACATTTTCCACGGGATATTTTTTTTCGTCACGAGTTTAAATTAAAATAGTTAACACAAAAATTCCAGAATTATCTGTCGGACTAAGCGCATTAATATTCCCAAAATGAAAAAAATCTTCTTTCGAATAATAACTAAAAACTTTTAGTTAAACTTCGACTTTCATTCAATTTCAAACTTGAATAATTAAAATTAAAAATTAAAATAAAAATCAAAATAGTAAAAATATTCAATAAAGAATATTATACAGTACGAACATTTATTATTATTGTCGGTTAATTAAAAAAGAATCAAGAGATTTTTCGGGAATATTGATGTTCTTTTAACAATATATAGAAATCGGGCGAGTCGATCGTGTGACTGAAACTATTTAATATACAAAAACGTTCGACTCTTTACAACTAAAAAAATGGTATCAGTCTTCAAAAACAAGTGATAAAAACCCGATTGATGACACTGAAGAACGTTTAAGCTGAATATTTGTGGCTGAGCCTTAATATTGTGATATAAGCATTAATTATATGCGCAACAACGAACAATTATCATAATTGTTTTTTTTCTTTTAACCAAAAAAAAAAGGTAAACAAAAAAGAAAAGTGCAATACCTATTTACAAAGAAAGTGCCAACAAAATTTCTTTACGAAAAATTTACTCCGCTATATATTTTTTTTTTAATTTTTGATATCTGGATTAATAAATTTTGCAGACGAATTTTTCGAAATGAAATTTTGTTATTGCACACTCCAAAGCCGGCGTACTAGATCGCAATTATCGTAAATGATGTTTGTTATTTTTATTTTCAACTTTTTTTTGTTTCTGTCTTTTTTTTCCCAAGCAGTGACCACTAACAATTATTTTCTTTTTTTATTCGATACACTTACGGTGTGCTATAAATTTTGTACATTTCCTTTTTTTCGCTTTAGTTTTTTTTTATTTTTCTTTAGAACGGCCTAACTAACGTTTATTTCTCTTTCTAGTTCTCTTTACTAAAGTGCTACGCTGCGATACTTTTACAGGCTTTTTTTATTAAACCACGAAAGCAATTCACTACGGGGGGGGGGGGGGGCTTTTCTTAGTGAGGGGAAAAAAGAATTGTACGAAAAAATAGATTTCGATTTTTTTGGGGGGAAACAAAAAGATAGAGAAAAATTGGAAATCTATTTTTTTGTTCAATTTTTGTTTTTTTAGGGGAAACATTCATGATTCTCTTTTGCAAATTTTTTTTTATTTTTTCTAGAAATAAAAGTATTTCTCTAATTTTTTTTGTTTTGAATTTTTCGTATTTTTTTAGACAAAAATATAGAGAAAAGGGGGAGGAAGGAAAAAATTTGCTAATTTGATATGCATTCTTTTTTATGATGAAGCTCTTTTGGAGAATTTAGACACTCGATTATACGTTTTATATAAATTTGAAAAATTTTACCCAAGTATTTATTTTTGACCAAAATCTTTTTTATCTTCGAAGCTTTTTCAAATTTTCCCAAAATTTCTTATTTTATTATTTTTATTTTTGAAATTTTATTGAATTTTCTCAAATTCTGTATTCAATTAATTTTACATTCGAAACTCTTTCGAATTTTCTCAAATTTTTTATTTTAATATTTTTATTTTTGAAAATTCATTGATTTTTCTCAAATTCTGTGTTCAAAATTTTACATTCGAAAGTCTTTCGAATTTTCCCAAATGTATTTTCTTATTTTTATTTTTCAAACTTCATTGAATTTTCTCAAATTAATTTTTATTGAATTAGTTCATAAACAATAAATTTTATATTCGAAGCTTTTTCGAATTTTCCGAAATTTACGATTTGATAATTTTTGTTTTTGCAAATTCATTAATTCATTAATTTTATATTCGAAAATTTGTCGAAATTTTCTCAAATCTAGTATTTTATTTAGTATTTTTACCTTCATTTATAATTTTAATTACCTTCTGTTTAAAAAAAATTTATTTCAATTTCATAACTTTTTCTATATGAAAACTTTTTGAATTTCAAAATACCTGAGTAAAATTTAATAATTAATTTTACAACGCAGAGCATTTTCTTAATTCTCATCTAGTGGAATGAAATTATAATATTTATCCTCAGAAGAAAAAATCTTTTGTTTAGCACAGAATAAAATTTTCTACTCAAACTTTCTGAAAAGTTGCAAAAGGGAAAAATTTAACAATTCTTTTTTTTAATTGTGCTGGGAGAGACTAGCTGCCGTCTTTGTGAAGTTTTTACCTAATCACTTTTACTTTACATACAATATTACACGAAAAGATTTTCAAGTTCTTTTTGCATCAGGATAAATTCGATTTTTAAAATCGAAATTCCCTGCACTTTCCTGCATCAAAATCGACTAATGATTTTAGAGAAGAAAAAATGAAAGAATAACAATGATGCAGTTTTGCATTAATTGTGATATGAGTCAACGTGCACAAAACGCCAGATTAGAAAGGTAAACAAACGTGTAAACATTAAAATCCGAAACTCTTTTTGTTGACTCGAGTAAAATTCAAAAGCAAAGGAATAGAAAGGCCACTTCGTTAACGATCTCTTTAGTTCAATCCGGATGAATTTTGAAAAATTGTTTTTTTTTCATTCTTATTAAATTTGATAATTTTTTGAGTTTTTCTCTGTTCAAAAATTTCATCCGGAGATCGCGATCTGAACCATTTACAATCTAGTACGCCGGAAGAATATCTAGACGGCTGAGTCCTTGCCGACAAAACCGGTCTTTGAAATTGATCTTTTACCATCGAATGTGATGGACGTTTCTCGTCGAAGTCCAGAGTCAATAATTGGTGTAATTTTCTTCTCCTCTCGCAGTGGTTCCTTTTCATCTCTAAAAAAAAGAAGAGAATGCCAAAATTCATAAAATGTTAGTAAATTTTTTTTTGAGAGCGAGAATGCGACGCTTAGTACAAAAAAACATATGCATGCTATATTTTATTGAAATTAAAAATACAGAAAAATTAATTTAATCAGAAAATACTTCCTCTACAAGGAAGTAATTAACTTAGTGAAATTAAATTTTCCAAATGTACAATTTACACTGACAATTATTAATTATAAGCAATAATATCATCAACGGAAAATTGTATTGCAACTTGAATTGTCATATAAATTAAAATTATATTAAATTTATTTTAATTAAATTAAATTTACTTTTATTATTTATACAAAATATTTTATATTAATATTTAATATTTTAAAGACCAAACATTTAAAATAATATAATAATAATATAATCTTATAAAATAATTATCAATTATCGTTTGCCGAGGGAAATTTTGAAATAATTCCGCAGAAAATTTGGTAATTTGATATAATATTATAAAAATGTATTTTTTTTGACATTCTCCCAATGGAATTTTTCTTTAGAAAATAGTAAACAAAAGATAGAAAATTTTAGTTTATAAAAACTTCAAATAAGAAAATATTAAATAAAAAGAAGAATAATTAGAAATTATTAAAAAGCAACTATTTTAAAAATGAAAAATATTTTATAATAATAATAATAATAATTTATTGTAACTTCAGTCTTTAGGCCTCAAAGTGGATTTAATTTACATTTTATTTAATGTTTTCTAGAATTAAATTATAATTAAATTTACTTTTATTATTTATACAAAATATTTTATATTTTAAAGACCAAACATTTAAAATAAAAAAAGCAGAATAAAGAGTAAAAGTTAAAAACGATTCGAGAATCATCGCCACGATATTGAAATAAAAAGAAAAAAAATAATAAATTTACTTCTTTTTATGAAATGTGAAACATGCAGCATAGCCAAAGCAGAGCGAATAATGTCCATGTCCTAAGCGAGTACAGAAAATATAAAGAAAAAAATAAGAAGTTTGTGTGTGGATAATGATTGTCGAAACACATAAATTACAGAAAGGAACAAGGAAAATATGAAGAAACGAAAATCACATGCCCATCTTTCTTTGTTTTTTTTTTAATTGCAAGTGCACTAATTATTTATTGTGCACACACAATTTTATTATTAATTTCTTGTCAAGATTTTACTTTATTTTTATTTATGATCTCAAAAAAGACATTTTATTTTGCATTTTATTTGAATTTTATTTAATTTTTAATTAATTAATTTTTTCATTTTTAATTAAATTTGCTTCTCTCGTATTTTTACTCCAAGTCAAATTTTGCATTTTGTTCGAATTTCTTAATTTTATTTAATAATTAAACTTGTTTCTTTCATATTTTTACTTCATAAATTATAATAATAATTTTTCACGTAAGTAATTTTATTTTAATTTTTTAACTTTATTTAATAATTAAATGTGTTTCTTTCATATTTTTACTTTGGAAAGATAAAGTCTAACAGGTACAAAAACATAAAAGATTTTATACTTCATTAGAGCCATTAGAGGTTTATTTAATTTTTTATTTTAAATTCCATTAAAATATCACGATTTAAACTTTATTATAATGTCCTTTGGAAAAATTAATAATTAGGTACAATTTTCTTTAAATAAGTAATTAAAATTTAACTCGTTTTTTACTATCAAAAAACTTTAATCTTCATATAGAAATAAAATTTTTAACGATTCAAAACATTAAGAAGAAAAAAATCTGTTACAAATTTTATCTTTAGCTGTTTTTTTCGATTAAAAATTCTTTCTTCTATTTTTCAATAGAATCGTATTTAATTTAATTATTCAATTTAATCGAATTTAATAGAATCATATCGAGAGTTTAAAGAAAAAAATTAATAATGCAAATAAAATCTCTTTCTTGGTGCACTAAGAATTTAAATTTAGAAAAAAAATCACGGACAAAAAAAACAGTAGATAGCATGTAAAAAGGAACAAAGAATAATAATTTTCATGCCAAGTAAAAAGCAGTGTTTTTTTTCAAGAGTTCCTCAGAGAGGTGCCATGCTTTTTACAAAATTTTTATTGAGTCTCTTTTTTTTTGTTTTGAAAAATTTCTCTTACATGGCAGTGTGTTTGACCAGTCTAATGGTACTTTTACCACTACCCGAATCTTGGATGGCCGTCACCCCGGCAACATTGGCCATTTTTTGATCGCAATATGGAAGTGGAAACCGCCAACCGTAAAGACTATAATTAATAAGAAACAAATAGAAAAGAAAGAGAGTATGATAGTTTCTTCTTCTCGACCATCGTAAAAAAAATTCATTAATTCCAATTACCAATCAAATTTAACAGAAAAACCACCAATAAATATTAATTTTTTCTAAAAATCCAATCGTAACCGAAACATTTTATTAGTAAATTAATAAATTAAAATAAAATTACAATAAATACTAAATTTCTAAAATAAAAAACTTTTTTTGTTCTCTCTTCTTTTCAAAAGAAAAATAAACTAAACAAAATGTTTCGGTAAAAGTTAGAAATTTTACTAAAACTGCCCAAAAAGCCGAAAATTCAATATAAAAAAAATTTGAATTATATTTTTAAAATTTAAAGAAAGAAGGAAAGAATCCTTCTTTCTTCTATAGAGAGAAGAAAATAATGAAATGAAACAAAGATTGCAATGAAAATATTAAATGATTAAATCTAATGAAATTGATAACTATATATATGAATGAAATGATCTAAATCTAAGGAAGTTATAAACTATATGTTTGTGTATAAAAAAAATGACGAACGCGATCTAAATGAGTTTTGTTTGGTAATTTTTTATAAAAATCAAAAAATCGTGTAATCAAGTGCGATATTTGATGACATGACAGCGCCAGATTTTGCCAAAGCACAAAATATCCAAATATAGGAACAAAAATACACGAGATTGGAAATGTTGAAAAGATTTTTCTTTCTCTTAATTTATTTTTATAAAATCCAAAATCATTATTTATTTATTAATGAAAAATTGGAAAAACATACCTTCCGAGTTTCACGTCTTCCTCGTCCATTGGTTTTCTTCGTGACCTCTCGCACACGTAGAAAATGATTCCTGAAAATTTTTCGATTTTAATAAATATGTAAATTAAACTCTATTTGTATTATATAAATTTATTTATATTAATTAATTAATTAATTTTCAAAAAATTATAATAAACAAATTCTTAAAATTATTTTTTTTTAAATATTTATAAAGTAATTTATGAAAGATAATAATTTTTGAATTATATACAATTGAAAAATTTCCAAACAATTGAAATTTGGTAAATTCTATTAAAAAAGTAATTGAATTTTTGAAGAATTTTAATTATTAATGTAAACGTGATTTCTCCAAAATTTTAATAAATCTAAAAAAGTAAATTTTAAAAAGTTTTTATTTATTTGTTTTTGAAGTTAATTGAATGTTAAAAAATTAAGATAAAAAAATTACAAGAAAAAGTTTTTTTTTTAAATATTGTAATGTAATTTTTCGAAAAGAATTGAATTTCTTAAAAGAATTTTTGTACAATTTTAAAAAATCTGATTTTTTGAAGAATTTTGATTTATTTGAACATGATTGTTATGTTGTTAAAATATTAAAAATAATTGTAAAAAATTGTAATGTTATTATTTTTTGTATATATTTGAATTTTTGGAAATTTGTATTTGAAAGTATTAAAAATAATTGAATTTTGAAAAATTTGAATGCAAAAAATCTAAGAATTATTTTTTGCAAAAATATTTTAATATAATTTTTAGAAGCTAATTTTCATTAATTGCCATTTTTAAATTTACACTTCAAGATTTTTCATTACAATTTTTGAGAAATCAATTATTTTAAAAATTTGCAATTAAAATTCTTCAAAAGTTGATTTTTAAAAATTTTTATAAAACCCTTTGAAAAAATCAATTATTTTCAATTTAATTTTAAAAAATTTCAATTATTGAAGCTCTTTTTTATTGTAAATTTTGAAAATTTAATTAGAAAAATTATTAAAAAATAATTTTTGAAGATTTGTCTATAGTTATTTTTCACATTATATAAAAATCGAAATAAGTTGCATTTTATACTAAAAATTATTGTAATATTTAGAAGAAAAGTCGAAATAAGTCGCACTTTTTGAAATTAGTAGAAAAAAGTCGAATTTCTTATTGTTAAAAGTTAAAATTAACAATTAATTTTAGAAATCGAAAATAATCACAAAAATTTCAAAAGTAAAAATAAAAATTTATAGTAAAAAAAAATTTACCTGTCTTTTGGGCGCAACAGCAGATAACATCAATAACAATGATGATGACGACTAGAATGGCGATCACAATACCAATTATGGCACCGCTGGAAATTAGCGCTCCTCGATGATGTACCACAGGGGAATCGTTACCTTGAAAAAAGATAAAAAATTTTAATTTACGAGTTCTTTTTACTTTATTAAATATAATATTAGTGATTGGGTTAGTGCGAAAAGCAGTATTTGAAAAATGTTTGGTGATTATCTACCACCGTGAAAAACGCGAAATTCTTCCCCTTCAAAAAGAAAGAAAAATCTAAGAAATCATTTTTTAAATTTCAATTTAATTTAAATTAAATGAAAAAGTTAAATTAAAATTTAATTAAATTTAATTTTAATAATTAAATTAAGATTTCATTTCATTTCATTTCATTTCATTTAAAAAATAAAAAGAAAATCCTGAAAGAGTTAAAAATTTTTGGCACCTTAAAAATTTCTCCAAAAACAATTTTTTTTAATAATTTTTCTAATTTTAATTTAAATTAAAATTTAATTTAAATGTTCCATTGAAATTCGCAGTTTTTGCTTTTTAAATTTCTATCTCCATTTCAAAACCAAAATTCTTTAGTAAATCAAAGAAGTATTTTTTGCCTATCTAAAAAATCCAATTATTGTACTGGTACGTCTCCTGTGAATAGAAAAAAAATTCCTTCTTTTTTTGACACACAAAAATCGATGAATCGAAAAGTACATTTTTTTCTCCACACGAGTGTGATATCACCAAACACATTTTCAACGCAAAAAATTTGTTAATTTCCTGAAAAAGAAAAAAGGTGTGCCAAAAATCCGTCTTTATCGGAAGCAGTATGTATTTACAAATAAAGAAAAAAAAACCAAACAAAACAGTAACAAAAAAAGGAATGAAAAACCAGAAAAAAAAGTAATTCCAAATCAAAGATTTTGAGCGATACAAAACACGAGCGAAAAATTCAAAGGGAGATAGTTAGTGAAGATTTTTTCTTTTTTTTTTAATTGAAAAAATGCAGCCACGAGAGGAAAAGAGGAAAGAGGAGAATATTCGATAGTACAAGTGAGTGCCAAAGAAGCCCAAGAAAAGGAGAAAAGCCCATTTTTTTTTTTTTTTTGCTTTATGGTGTTAGTTTCTAGCGCTACTACTCTACGTAATTGCTTCACACCACACAAGCGTTATTTTTTTATTTTTTTTTTTTTTAGTGTGCCCTCAATATTTTTCTCTCTTTCTCCACTAGCAAAAAACAAGAAAAAAGTATAGGATTTACACAGTCTACGATGTTTAGCAGTGCTTTCATTTGGTCGTATATTTATATTTACCAGTTTCTCTCTTTCGGCTTGAGTTGCTTTTCCGCAGGGCAAAAAGCAGGCGAGAAGCGAAAAAATAAATTGAGTTGGTTATGCGGAGGGAATCGTCTCAAATTTCCACCTTTTATTCATTTCGAAAATTCAATTACACTCAATATTCATTTAATTTACGAAAGTCAAAAACAAAATTAAATATAGTATTTCATAATTTATATTATACATTTTACGGGACAGAGAAAATCAAATTCAATATTAATGTCGAATATTTAATTTCAATAATTCTGTACTCATTAATTAATAACTGAATTAACTTTTGAATTATAAATTTTTTTTTACAGAAAAAATTTTAGGTGAATAAAATTGAATTCGGAAATATTTGAAACAATTTCTCCGCAAAAACCGATCACGTATTTTTTTTCTTGGACATTCCATGTATTTCTTCGGATTTCTTTAAATTATTTACAATAGTTTTTTTTTCACATTTGACAAGTAACCCTTGCTCATAAATATATATCATCATATCGTAGAATATGCTAATTACGAGTAATTAAATCTACACGTAAATGTATACATATCTTAACGATTTTTACTATCTAGATTATCTAAGAAATAATTTCGATGTTTCTCTTTTTTCGTCGCCTTGAAAAGAATAAAAAAAATCGCTCTATATTTACATAGTCAGAGAAAAATTTTTCGATTTTTCTAAATCTGGGCAAAAACAAAAAAATGGCATCCCACTATTTATAATATACGTTTTCTTTTTCTCTCTCTCTCTCTAATTTTTTTCGTTCTATTTTTCATCTCCCTTGGAATAGATTGCGAGAGAGATTCGCGAAATGAACTTGATGGTGCGAAACTATCTCTCTCTCTCTTTTTCTTCTTCTGTCGTCTTTAAATTTAATTCTTCTTAGTAGAAAGCTATTTGTAGCAGTTCGCATACTGAAAGCTCTTTTCAAGTGACATTTCTCCGCGAAATTATCATTATAGTGATGAGAAATAAACTCTCTTAATTTTCCCAACAATATTCTCAGAGACATTCTCTATGGAAAATTGTAGAGGGAAAATTTCTTTACGCTTGAGTGATATAGAAAAATATTTTCTTTTTCGAAATTAGTAATTTTAAAATTGTGATAATTAGTAATATTGTAATTTTTTTATTTTTTCCTTTTAATTAGTTTTTGATTTTCGAATGGAGAAAAATTTCTTTCTTTCTTTACTGAAATTAATTACAATTAGAATCAGTAATTTTTTGCTCAATTTTTACATTTGAATTAGTTTTTTTATTTCGAATGGAGAAAAATTTCTTTCTTTCTTTACTGAAATTAATTACAATTAGAATCAGTAATTTTTCCCCTAATTTTTCCATTTGAATTAGTTTTTACTTTGCGATGGAGAAAAATTTATTTCAATTTTTTTTTAATGAAATTAATTACAATTATTATCAGTTCATGAAAAAATGAGCGCAGTGAAAATGTCACTTGAAAAAAAAGTTACTGGATGTCAAACTTGGGAGAATTTAAACGTTCCACGAGGAGTGTAAGAATAAAATCCTCTCTTCACAAAATTTTCAACCCTCTTTATTCATTCACGCTTTTTTTTGTCAGTCCTCGTCATTATCTGTCGACTATTGTCTTCGAATAGAGCGAGTCTCACACCAACGAGTTCATCCTTTTTTTTCGCCCCTCTCGTAATACTGTCCATTTGAAAATGCAATCTCAGAAAGCACCTCTCAGCCTCCTCCTCCTCCTTTTCCTTTTCCTTTTCCTCCTTCTGTATATAATAGTTTCCCCGTTATTTCAAGTTTCTCTTAATTTATCGCTCTTCATTCATACAAATATACACGAGGCGAGAAAATTAGTTACAAAAAACGCTACAATAAAAATGACAATTTCTTTTCCACTTCTTTCTTTTTTTTCTTTATATAATAAATAAGATTTCTTAATCGCAAAAATTACCTACGGAAAAATAACGAAATTATTTAACTTCAAAGAAAATTATTTTTTACAAACAATTTTTTTTCCAAAAAGAAAATTTTTTTCACAAACGATTTTTATTCCAAAACGAAAATAATTTCATACAAACGATTATTATTTCTAAAAAAAATTATTTTTTTACAAAACTATCTTTTTCTTAACGAAAATTACTTTTTACAAACGATTTTTTTTCCCCAAAGAAAATAATTTCTTACAAAAGATTTTTATTTAATAAAAAATGATTCCTTAGAAACGATTTTCATCCAAGGAAAATACAAAAGTTTTTCAAACGGCCAAAAAAAATTGCAAACTGCAAAAGATAATTTTTCTACAAATTCTCAGTCTTGAAAAAATATGAAATTTAAAAAATTCTCGCTTCACGAAATAAAAAACTTTTGTTATTCAAAAGTTTTTGTTATTTTGTTATTCTCTAAAGTATTTTTCTCCATTTTAAATAAAGATTCGATGCTTTAAAAATTGTAATTTTAAGAATAATGTCGACGTTTAAATCTACAACCCGTTCATTAAAAATATAAAGGAAATTCGCTTTAAGGGAGAGAGAGAGTGTGAGAGAGAGGAAACAGCGTACATGATGCTAATTAAAAATAAATATTTCAAGAGAGAATAAAACGAAGAAAAAAAATTGAAATAATAAAATTAAGCACATGCCATGCGATGTGGAAATAACCAAAATACTAAGTCTCAATCTCGAAAATAATAATTATATCAAAAAGAAAGAAAATATAAAATAAAATTCGTTGTTTTACCAAATAAAAAAGATTCGTTGTTTTCAATTATATTTAGGCGAGAATGAATGACAATGAAAATTTTTTTTAATAAACTACTGACAGCGATTGTTAAAGAAATATATAAAATATAATATTCTAAACGTAGTAAAATAATTATAATAATAAAAATAATAATAATATTACAAATATTGATAATATTAATAATATTAATAGAATTATTAATATTAATGATACTAATAATAATATTAACAATATTAACAATATTAACAATAATAATACTAATAATAATATTAACACTATTAATAAAAAAATACTAATAATAATATTAATAATATTAATAATAATAATTAATAATTAATAATAACTAATAATAACTAATGCTTAATAATACATGATTGTAATATTAATACAATGATAGTAACAGTAAATTAAGATTCATAAATCTATTCACACAACATGCGCACTAAAAACACGATTTTTCCGTAACTAATCAAGCCAGGACTGAATTTCAAATCCCTCGCAAAAATATCGAAGTGAAATTCAAATTTATTTTTACTCAATTTACTCAAACTTTTTTTCGAAATTTCTGAAAGGTGATATTTTTCACCCTCTTTTTTTTAATAAAAAAATATTTTTCCGGGTCTGAATTTGATTTCTTTTCAAAATATTAGTAATATTAATTTTTTTTATTAATATTTATTCATTTTTATTAATATCGTAATATTTCTCGAACTGATTTCGATTTCTATTTAGAAGAAAAATAAATTTTTATTATAAAAATTATATATTTTTAATAAATAAATAAATTCCAAGAAAAAAAAAAATCAAATTCGGACAAAAATTTCGAAAAGTAAAACTAATTTGAATTTAAAACTAGCGCCAGGGGAAAAGAAAATTTTTGTTTTTAATGAACCAGAATGTGAAATAATTGAAATTAGCCCAGTTACTTGGTCAGATTTGTATCTTTCATGCAGTTATATAGTTTTAAAAACTACGCTATGTGTTATTTTCAGAGAGGTTTTTTTTTCATTTTATTTTTCTTTTTAAAGAAACAAGAGTCGGATTCTTTGGCTTTAAACATGATTGCATGGACCAGAATACGACGTAAACCTGTGAAGATTCATCTACACTAGATAATAATTCTACTTTAGTATTGTTCTTTTTAGTATTTAATACAAACGAAAAAAAGTCCTTTATTTTCTACAGAAAAAAAAAATTATAATAATAATAATAATAAAACGATAAAAACGGATTTCGCACAGGATTTGGACGCTGGTCCAAAAGAATTTATATATGTAGAAGAGTATAAGAAAAAAAGAAGAATAAAGACGATTTTCGAGATTTCCTCTCGAATTTTCTCTTTTTCTTTTGTAAACGATTATCTAAAAATACTTTTTATCTTCTAACTCGCTAAAAGACAGAAGCGTTTTTATTTCCATGTTGGTAGATTTCTTTTTTTTTAGAGAGAAAAAAAATATATTGATCACTTTGACGAATTAGATTCTTTTTTCAATTACCTATTAAAAATCGCTATAGGCATTTGGCAAATTATTTTAGGCAGTAAGTTTTTTTTCCACTTAATGCACACCAAACACTAAATGCAACGTCATTCACACCAGAATATTGATTTATTTTTGGCAAATTTTTTTCGAAAAACGATATTCGTTTTGGACAAGCCAATTTTTTTTACTAAAACAAAAAGAAAATGAAAAAGTAATAAAACGAAAAAATAAAGCAAAATAGTAGTAAAAAAAAGGAGAGAAGGAAAAAATATTGCCATTTGGAAAAGAAAAACTAAAAAATATTAAAAGATGAAAGGCGAAGTTTTTCAATTTGGTGTGAAGTGACGCGTAATCTGATGTCGCGCTAAAGGAAGTCAAGACATTCATACGAAAAAAAAATGAAGGAGGACTTTAGCTTATTGTAAAAGGAAACGTACCAGTACGTTTTCAACAATGAGCATTCAACAACGAGTATAAATACATTTTTTTCTTTTAAAAGAAATTGAGGAGGACAATCAGATCTGTGTAGAGAAAAATTTCTTAATGAGATATTTTTCAATAAATAATTTCTATTCATGAGATTCACGATTATTTATAATAATAAGAGTCGAAATTAAAAAAGTTTCACTATTTTTTCGATTTTACAATTTCAAAGTTAAATATTATAGAAACTTTTTTTCCCTCGACTTTGATTCAATTTTTCCTTAAATTCTAATTTTTACTTTAATTACAATTTTTTTTAAATAAAAAAAAATTCTTTAAATAAATTTTCCTTTATTATCAATTTATCAATTTAAAAGAAAACGTTACAAAAACTATATTTTGTAAAAAATAGAGATTTTAACAAAAATCTTTTAACATCCTTTTAAGGATTAAAGAAAATTAATTTTTGAGATTCAAAATTATTCGATTTTCTTACCTAGAAAATCTATATTGAGATTCACTCTTTGAATTTTTCTATTCAAAAAGTTTTTAGGAAAACAAGAAGATACAAAAATAAAAATAAAAAACTATCGAAATTTTCAACTTTGGGAAAATTTTAAATTAACCTTCATTTAAGTTTTGGATTTTTTCTTTTAAATGTTCTCCTCACTTTCTCAGATCTAATCTATCACTGGTCTAGAAATGAAGCCAAGAATCTCACTTGATGAATGTTCGTTCTACGTCTTTTTTTTTCCTTCTTAAGACTCTTAACTTCGGAATGTACCGCTCTCGATCTGGTCGTAATTCGTCTACAATCTAGATAAATGAATTTATCGATGGCCTATTAAACAAAAAAAAAGCACTTCGGCTCCTCATTTAACGATTTTCTCGAAGTCCTTTTGATTTCACGCGGTCGAGACTAGAGTGTCGACGACGATATTTGTCTTTTGTCTCTTTCATCTCGATTAACGAACGCTAAACAAATCACATTTCGTTTTTTCTTTGTCGTCTTTTTTTTAAATATTACTCGATATTAATAGTTATTTTTTTTCTCGTTTTCGAGAGATTTAACACTAATTTTTTCAAATGGAAAATATCGACGCGATTCTCGATTGACGTGTTTGTTTATAATACAAACGAGTAATTAAAACAGGTACAGTCGAGTGTAATCGATCCCCATTTTTTTTTTGTTACACTTTTCTTGAAAAAGACGATTTTTTTTTCATTGACGGCTCTAAATGACTAATGATAGAATCGATATTGTTGTGGTAAAGGCGATCAGGACGCCGAGCCTGGTAGTATCCCCAGAAGATACTAACGAGTAGTCCACAGTGATGCCGGAAGATTCTGAATGATAATAAAAGTGTTCTTGTACAAACGTCGGTGCTGGTTGATTTTTTTTTTCTATTTTTATACACACGGATTTTTTTATAAAGGACCTAAGGTCTTCTTTTTTGTGAAAAAAAACTCAACTAGTATTCTATGAAAACTAGAAGAGAGCTAAAAAGCCTTTGCGTATCTTGACTTATGTATATATATAGCTTTGGAATAAATTGTGAAAAAGCTGGTGCTTTAACGAAAAAATTGTAGCAAGAATAATAATAATAATAAAAAAAAAACGTCAAAAGGAATAACTAAAAAAGACAGAAATTTCTCAAGAAGAAAGGATAAGCTCCTTTCTTCTTTGAGTTTCCTTTAAAATTTTAAAAAATCTTTCTAAATAAATTAAATACTTCCGGGGAAATTTACTGCAAACCGAGAATAAAGTTTTTCTCTCAATTTGAAGATTTATCGATAAATATGATTTTCATTTCCATTCTTTAAAATTCTCATTCTTTTCAATATTAAAATATTAATACTAAATATTAATATTAAAATTAATAATTCTAATAGAAATTTTAAAAATTGTATAAAATTGTCTAAACATTGTAAAAATACCGCGAATCATTTTTTCAATAAATCTTCAGTGGTATTTCATAATTTTTTTTTTTTTAAACAAAAAATAAAAACAATAGACACTTACCTCGATTTGTTTTAATTTTAATTTCTCCAGAATCACTGAGACCCAAGTAGTTCTTTGCTCTGACTTCAATCTTGTAATAAGTATCGGAATAAAGATGTTTCAGCCAATATGTCGTTCGCTTACCACGTTCCTCCTTAATTTGACATGTTCCCGGTATTATCTCCCAATCGCCGGAAACTCTTTTCAATTGACAGTATTCAATTTCATAATGCGTTATTTGCTCTCCATTATCAACGGGCACAACCCACGAGACTTCATATTGATTTGAAAAGGGAGAAATTTCATATTCCATTCCTTGTGATATTTGTGAACGAATTTTTGGTATTCCTGGTCGTGATTTGACTAATGTTGATTCAGTTAAATGATTACCCCAATTTGCAAGGCCAGCGTCATTCGAGGCGGCAAAACGAAATTCATAATGTGTATTCGGTATTAAATTCTCGATAATGTATGTTGAGTCTAAAAATTTTAAACGTAAATATAATTAGTTAATTATATATGTACTTAATGAGTCTTAAAATTAAAATTTTCACTGAAACGAAATTTTTAAGGAAGAATTTTTAATTAAAGAGAATTCTCTTTAATTAATTAATTAATTAATTAATTAATTAAATTAATTTAATTCTCTTCATTTAGATGAATCTATAATATTAAAATTCGTCTGAATTTCAATAATTTTGTAAACAGATTTATAGTTTAAATAAATAGCTCAATAAATAAGTAAATATACAAATAAATAAATTAATTGATTAATTAATAAGTAAATTAAGTAATAAATAAATATGCAAATAAATATTCAAATAAATTAATTAATAAAGGAATATAAAAATAAATAAATTAATAAGTAAATATTCAAATAAATTAATAAACAGACATAAAAACAGTTAAATAATCATCTTATAACTAAAAAATGAAAATAAAAATATTAATAAATATCTTTTCAACTTACTGACTGCCCAGGTCCTATTGTACGCATGAACCCACGACTGTTCAGAGGGTTTATACTGAATATTGACAGTTTTAATCGGCAGCTCATCGTCATGTGCTGGTAACAATATTTCAAAAATTGCCGTTGTTGCCGTCATTTCGGCAATTCTCACTTGAAGAAGATGTCCAGGCCTTTTGCCCTCCTTGACAACAAATGGAAGTACATTCGAGCCATGAATATTCGTGGCAACGCATCGATAAGTCGTGAAGTAACGTGAATCTCTTGGTTCAACGATTAAAGAAGAAATTGGTCCATTGCCAATAATTTTATGCGGCGCATTTGATTCAAGTCGTTGAGTTTCATACACTCTCCATTCAATTGTCGCATTTGGAATACTTGTCGCTATACATGTCAAATTTCCTGGATGATTGTTCCAAGCAAATATTGTACGATTATCATTCACTTCAAATGATGGAGGAAATTCTACAGTCAAATGGCCAGTTTTAATACTCTCACCGCCTTTATTTATTCCTATGCATTCGTATAAACCGTCATCGTACCTGTAATATTAAGCAAAAAAAAAATGGAAAAATTATTTTTTTTATTAAAAAATTTTGCAAATTTGGCAATTCATGATAATTGTATTTTTTAATCGAATTAATTACAATTCGATCAAAAATTAAAAATTTGATTAAATATAATAGAAATTACGTTTAATAAAAATTCGGTTCGATGCTAATTCTCTACTTTATGAAATTCTATTTCTATTTTTCTAAAGAGAACGGACCAAAAATGAAAAATTACGGATTAATTGCTGACAAAAAAAAACCAATCCGAGTCAAATAAGAGAACATTTTACTTAAAACTATAAAATAAATTTTTCATAACTATAAATAACTATAAATTAAAGATGACAGAGTGATAAAATCATTATCAATTCAATTATTATTTTCAAGAATTTTTAACTAAAATTCTTCTTTAAATCGATTATTTTTAATAACTTTCGAAAATGTTCTTTGACAATTTTCAAAATCCATTCGTTTACAATATTCAATTTTACGAAATTTCAATTATTCGAAAATTCTTCAATCAAATATATATTAGAAAATAAAAACTTCAAATAATATAAAATAAATTCAATTAAACTTTTTCAAAACAAAATTAATTTCAAAATTCAATTATTTCTAAAAATTCATGCTATAATGCCTTTAATATTCAATTATTATCTATAAAATTTTATTTTAAATTTATTTTTAAATCAATTTTTATTAGAAAATTCTATCAGAATTCAATTATTTAAATACAAAAAAAACTATTTATTGCATAATAACATGTTTCTTAAAATTGAATTCTCATAAAGAATGTTATCAAAAAAATATTTAAACAATTGAATTTTTTCGACGAATTTGAATAAAATTTGTAAGAAATAATTACATTTTTCGAGAAATTTGATTGAAATTGTATTAAAAATAATTGAAATTCTGTAATGAGTTTTATTATTTATGAAGGTAATTGAATTCCTAAAAAGAATTTTATTATTTACGGAAATAATTAAATCTCTGTAAAAATTTTATTAAAATAGTAGATATTAAAAATTATTGAATTGAGGAAAATTAAAAAAAAAAAATTGAAATTTTGACAATTCTAATAAAATTTTTGAATATAATTGAATTTTGAAGAAGAATTTAATTATTTCTAAAAATATTTTAATTATTTCGAAGAATTTATTAATATTTTAGAAAATATTTGAATTCTTTCGAAAAATTTATTCAAATTTTGGAAAATAATTGTATTTTGGAGAAGAATTTTATTATTTATAGAAATAATTAAAATTTTGAAGAGAATTTAAAGAAATTTTTGAATATAATTGAATTCTTTGACGAATTTTAATAAAAAATTTTAAGAATAAATACATTTTTCGAGGAATTCGTTTAAAATTGTGTTAAAAATAATTGAAATTCGGCAATGAGTTTTTACGAAAATAATTGAATTCCCAAAAAGAATTTTATTATTTACGAAAATAATTGATTCTCTGTAAAAATTTTATTATTTATGAAAATAATCGAATGATTGCAAAGAAATTTATAAAAAAATTTGTAAATATTTGAATTCCTGTGAAATTTTTATTATTTTATGAAAATAATTAAAGGTTTGCGTAGAATTTTATTAATTTTTTTTTTAAAAATTGAATTCTTTTGGAAAATTTGATTAAAATAGTAAATGTTAAAAATCATTGAATCGAGGAGAATTTTTCAAAATAATTGAAATTTTGACAATTTTATTAAAATTTTTGAATATAATTGAATTTTGGAGAAGAATTTAATTATTTCTAAAAATAATTGAAATTTTGATGAGAATTTAAAAAAATTTTTGAATATAATTGAATTTTTGCGAAGAATTTTATTACTTTTGAAAATAATTGAATTTCTATACTCATTTGTAACTTCTCTAAAATTCTCCAAATTATATCGAACAATTTACCAACTTTTCGTCTTTTCTCAATCAAATTACGGACTTTACCAATCTTTTTTTTTTTTAAATCGTCTTTTACGGACTGGAAGCAAATTTACTGTCATTTACGGGATTTACGAACCTAGTTCGAGCCCTGTTTTAAAAAATTTAAGATACATTAAGAAAACAAACCTTTGAACTTGATTGATAGTAAGAATACCAGTTGTCTCATCATTACGATCATTCTTTCGATTCTCGAGCATTATTCTATCGTCATTACGTTGTGCGCCAAGTTCAAAACGTCTTTCGGATGTGTATTTGCGGAAAACAATTTCTGGTGGTGGACGACCAAATGCCTTGCATTCAATTTTCACTTGTTTCAAAAGTGGAACTGTTTTATTGACAAATTCCATAATTTTCGGCTTCACAATAACATTGAGCCTAATGTCCCAATCATCAAAGCCAGCGGGATTTTGTGCTCTACAACGATATTCACCGTCATCATCGCGTTGAACATTTTTTATTGTCATTACACCAGTGTAATTATTGACACCAAATCGATCGGCTTTCGATAAATCCTCATTATTTATTGTCTTCACCCAACTATATTCCGGAAGTGGCTTGCCTATCGCTTTACATGCAATGTCCGCCGTGTCGCCTTCGATCGCTTCAATTGTCGTTTCGGATTCTTCAATTTTCGGCTTTATGTGAACCTGAAATTTTTTTTTGGATTGTTATTAATTAATTTCAATTCTAAATATAAATAAAGAAAAGTGAAAAAATCGGATTTTAATATTTTCGGAAAAATAATACTTCCATGAGGGAGCAATTTATTAATGAATAAATAAATTCATTATTAAGTAAATTAATTAATTAATCAATGAGTGAAGTTATAAGTAAATAAATTAATTAATAAAATCATAATTAAATAAGTAAATATAGTAATAAATAAATAAATTAATTAACATATTAAATAAATTATTAAAATAATAATGATGAGTAAAACTAAAAAAAAAAAATAAATAAAAACGAATGAAGGAATAAGAAAAATCTAAAATGTCTATAAAATTCAACTCTGAATGAAATAGTCACCTCGACTTTAATATTTCGTTCCTTAAGTTCGCCGGTGGTTGCGACAAAAGCCCTGCAAGTATAGGTACCATCGTCGAGTTCGGTGACTTTTTTGAGCTTCAGGGAATGCGTCTCGATGATGTAGTGCTCGTTAGTTTCTATCACTTCCCCATTAAAGAGCCAGTCAACCGTTGGAGATGGTTGTGCGACGACTTTGCACATAATATTGAAGTCTTCGCCGAGAATGGGATTCTGATTTAGCGGAGCGTCGTTCCACGTTATGGCAACTGTAATTTTCAAAATAAAACGATTGAAAATTTATTCAAATAAAGAAAAAGAAATATAAATTCTTTTTTATTAAAAAATTCGACAAAATTATACTAAATTGAATTTGGAAAATAATTTTAAATTACCACTAAATTTGTTGATTAAAATTAAAAATTTTTAATTTTCAATAGAAGTAAAAATTGTTAAGGATTAATGTTTTTATTATACAAAATCTTTTTTTTTATTTCACTGAAATTTTGAAACATTAAATAAACGAATTTCTTTTCCCCTTTTATTATTTTCCAAAGTTACTAAATTGAATTTGGAAAATAATTAAAATTTACTACTAAATTTGTTGATTAAAATTTTTAATTTTTAACAGAAGAGTAAAAATTGTTAAGAATTAATTTTTCTAATATACAAAAATCTTGTTTTATTTCATTGAAATTTTGAAGATTTAAATGAAGGAAAATTTTCCCTGTTTAATTACTTTCGACAAAAATTACCAAATTGAATTGGAAAATAATAATTCAAATTGATCATTAAATTAGTTTAAAATTTTTAATTTTTAGTAAAAGTGAAAATTGTTAGGAAATTATTTTTTTAATGTACAAAATAATATTTTTCAGTAAAATACAAATTAAAAATAGTAAAAAAAAATATTAAAAAATATTAAAAATAATAATAATATTAGAAAATTGAAAACTTTAACCACGTTTTTTCTGAAAAAATCATTTTTCGTTTCCTTTTCATAATTTATATATAAAAGAAAAAATCTATTATTATTTTTCTTTACCTATTGTTTCAATGGCAACTTCCTCAACCAATTCCTCGTTATTGGCGAAAGTCGCTCGACATTTGTACCTTCCGCCTTGTTGAGTTTGAAGATTCGTGAACAAAAGGGCCAGTGTGTGTCCATGACGCTTTTCGGTGTACATTGTGGACTTTCCATTTCCTTGCCTAATTTTAAAACAAAAAAATTATTTATTAATTTTCATTTATTACTTTCCTTTATCAAAAAAAAAATTGGATTTTTAATAAAAAGAGTATGAAAAACTGTTCTAGTAAAAGCGTGTTAAAAAATAAAATTTAATATCCAAAATATTTACAATTTTCAGTAAAACAAATTTTTTTGAAAAATTTTTTTTAGGTGCAGAAAAAAATTATTTAATTTTTAACTAATCACAATTTTTTTTGAATTTAATTTCTGATTTATTGATTAATAAATTGATTTTGAATTTTGAAAAAATAAAATTAAACAAAAATAAATTTAATTTTAAGAAAAGAAAATTTAATTTAATTTTGAAAAAATAAAACTGAACTTAAAATAAAATTTAATTTCGAAAAAATAATTCTTTTCTTTGCCCAATTTTTTTAATTTCGAGTTTCCCGCGTTGTTTTTTCAATAATTACAATCCAATGGGTTTTGAAATTTGTCTCATTAAAATTATTGTATGTAATGAATGAAAGAAAATATTTAGTTGAACGTGCTCGGAAATTGCTAACAGTATCGCATTCAACAAAATTATTTCCTTCGATCAGAAATGCTTGGAAATGTTTTTTTCAAAAACAAAGGCAGCAACTCACTTTTATTTTTATTATAAAAAAAAAAAATAAAAATAAAAATACTTTCGACAAGGTGTTTTGTTACACTGAGTTTGGGACGTATTGTTTTTTTCCTCTCTCTCTTTCTCTTCGCACATAACGAAAGTGATCGTCAGTTTTTTCGAGAGGGCGTGATTGATTGTATAAATAACGTGTAACAAAAGATAAAACAAAACATATTGTTGCTGCGTTTGCGAAAAACAGGGGAAAAAAAATAAAATAAAATTGTAATAAAAAAAAAAAATTCGTGCTTCAAACAAATGAGTGTCGCAAGTGGATAGGTAACGAGTGACAGTAAAAAAAATATTTTAAAAAAAAATTAATATATTTTTTGCGCTAAATAAAAATTGCCATAAATTTGAAAAAAATAAAGAATAAATTGTAAAAAAAAAATTAAAAAATAGGAACATTTATTAAGATTTGAAAAAGCTTTTGAGAATTTGTTTCACATACACTATCAGAGCAAATTAAAAAGGCAATCAAAAAATTTTATTTTAATGATTAATAACAATTATTATTATTATTATTTTATAATAATTTTTTTATAATAATTTTTTTATTAAGTGAATAAATAATTTTTTTAATCATAATTTTTTTTAAAACAAAATTTATCATTATTAAACAAATAAATAATTATTCAAGTCAACTTTTCTGATTTTCGTTGCAAAATTTAATTAATTTTAATATTTCAACTAATTTTATTTATTTATTTACTTATTATAAATTTTAATTTAATTATAATTAATTTTAATTAAATTTCAACTAATTCAAATCTAATTTTAATTAAATTTCAACTAATTCGAATCTAATTTTAATTAATTGCACATAATTTTAATTAATTTTAATCTAATTTATTCAAAAAAGAATATTTATCATCATTATTTAAAAAAATTGCGGTCATAAATATTAATAACAATAAATATATACATTTTTCATTTGAAAAGCTGAGAAAAACAAAATCATTGAAACACTTAAAACTCATGCAAGAAAAAAATAAAAAAAAAATTAGAATATGAATGAAAATTATTGTGAAAAAGTGAACTACATTGTGTGTAAGCATTAATATACTCGCCCTTCCAATTGCTGGACCTGAAGTCTGTGTGCAGAATAAATGAAAATTTGTTAAATTAGTGCTGCGAGTGTTTGAGTGCAAAAGTGTATTTATTTTAATGTATATAGTGTTTCTTTTAAAGCACAAATTAGTATCACAATTATTTCAAAGCCAAATATTTATCTTACAAATTGCGCAATTTTTTTTCGCAGGTGGAATTTAATTTTTCATCTTGCCAATATAGAAAAAATATTCTGAGTTTCTTTTTTGCAAAATTTTCTAGTTTTTAATGTTTTTAATGAAATTATTCAGATGGAAAAATTTAATGAGGAATGAATAATAAAACTTATTTTGATTTTTAGTCTATTAAATGTTTTTTTTTAGTTCTATTTTTAAAATTGTTTAAATTTTTTTATTATAATAATTTTATAATAACACTAATTATATTTATTACAATTTATTTATTATAATAACTTTGCTATTGTAATAACAAGAATTATTTCAATTAAATTTATTATTACAATTTTAGAAGAATTATTATAATTAGAAAATTGTAATAATTTTAATTAGTATTATAGCAAAATTATAGTTATAATTAGAATTAAAATTATTTCAATTTAATTTATTATAATAATTTTATAATAATAGTAAAAATCAGAAGTGAAATTATTATAGTTTGATTAATTGTAATAATTTTATAATAAAAATAAATATCATTAAAATGATTACAGAACAAAAAATTCAATCAAAAAAATCTAGACCGAAAAATTCAAGAAAAAAAAGTCCAAAGTACAAAAAATCCAAAATAAATAAGAACGTGTCTAAAATAAATAATGAAATATATGAAAAAGCCACGTTTTTACTTTTTACGCTATAAAATTGGAAATTAAAATGTTAACATTAAAATCGCAGGATTTTAATTATTTACATAAATAATAAAAATCTTCACTAAAATTCTTTTATTTTTATAAAAAAAAAATGTTTCACAAAAATTCAATTATTTTCATAATTAAAAAAATTTCTAGAAAAATTTCAGCAATTTTGATAAAATTCTTTAAAAAAATTCAATGATTTTTTTTTAAAATATAATTTCAATTAACTTACTCGATTAATTTAATTTTTCAGAAATTAAAAGTGGTTTACCTACATACGATTAAAAGATTTAAATTTTTTATCTCAATTTTTTTCCTTGAAAAAATAATTTAAAAAATTAAATTAAATAAATAAAAAATTAAATTATTTAAATTAAATCAATTAATTAATAATTAAAATAATTAATTTTTAAGAAATTAAAAATCAATTTTTAATTTCTTTTGACTTTTTAACCAGGGCAAAAAATCCAAAAAATAAGTTCAAAGTGAAAATATATTTTTTTTTAACTTTTTTGGATTTCATTTACTTTGGAATTTTTGGTTTGGACTTTTTGTTTTGGACTTCTTGTCCGGATAATCATTAAAATTGTTAAGATTTCTTTCATTACAAAAATTTTGCTATAATAATAATTAAAATTATAACAATTTTTTTTATTATAATAATTTTACTAATAATAACAATTAAAATATTTAATTAATTTAATTAATTTTGCTATAATACTAATTAAAATTATTTCAATTTGGGTCATTATAATAATTTTGCTACAAAAGTAATAAAAATTATTTTAATTTAATTTATTGTAATAATTTAATAAGAATTATTATTAGTAATATTATTACCTATTATTATTCTTATTATTATTATTAAAATTATTACAATTTGATATATTGTAATAATTTTGTAATAATAATAAATATGAATAAAATTATTACGATTCTTTATTATTATAATTTTACTAATAATAATAATTAAAATTTTTTTCTTTAATAATTTTTTTTATTACTAATTAAAATTGTTGACATTTGATTTATTATAATGATTTTGAATTAATAATATTTTCAATTAAAATTATTACAGTTATTACAAAAAAATTGTTCAAGAAATATTAATTAAAATTTTTTTGTTCCATAATTTGAAAATTAACTTAATTTGAATTGGAAATTTTTTAAATTAATTTATTTTTCATTTCTCGTTAAAAAATTTAAATTTTAATACTTAAATTAAATAATTATTCGAGGAAGAAAATAACATTTTTATTTCATTTCTTTTTGTCTTCTATACCAAGTAGAACATTTTTTTACTAATTCAATTTTATATTTATAATTTTCATTTGTAAATTTGCATTTTTTCCCATTAAAAATTTATATCTATGAATTTATTTTACTTTATAAATAAATAAAAAAATTCTTAGAAAACTTTGCATTTTTTTTTAGGAAAAAAAAATGGAATTTGAAGAAAAAAAGAAGACTTACTTTAAAGAATCAATGACACGATCATAAGGATCAATCCATTCCATGTTTGAAATTAAATCTGGATTTGTGACGTTTGGTTTACATGTTAAAATAATGCTCGACCCCACTGGCTTTGATTGCACTTGCCCATTGGGCAAGATTTCCAATCTTTGCTCCGCATTGCTGTAACCTGTAATGAAAAAGAAATTAAAAATTTATAAGCTGTTTGGGGGTGAATAAATAATGTTTATATATAATTAACATAATTTCCGTTATATAAATATCAAAACGAAAAAAAAAAAATGATCAGATTGGAAATAAGGTGATGATGGATTTTTTATTTATATTCCTTTTTTTGTTTATTGATCGTGGGGCGATCGAGCGTCAAATTGCCAAATGCAATTAAGGACGTCGACATACTGAACAACGATCAACAGGTAGTAGGTGCGCTCTCAGAGGTGCTTAACGACGTTGAAATTCCATCGGATTACAAGGATAATTTCGTAAATTATCGCTAACAACCAGGTTTCTTCGCACCTTGTTAAATTTAAGAAGATCTCTTATTTTCGACTCTTATTTTCGCTCCCTTATAATATAGACATAAATTATTCACCAAACAAAATTGGGGGAGTGTTCTTTTTATAGGAAATTTAATTTTATATTTATGTGAAGGAAATTTGTAATAAATTCTATAAAATATACAATACCAAAATAAGTGTGAAGGGGAATTTTTACTGAAATTTTAATTAGTGATGTATTTTCAGAATTTGGGGTTATTTTCAACACTTGGAATATTTTTGCGGTTATTAAAAAAATACTTTAAAAATATTCTTAGGGGCTTGGCAGCACTTCAAGAAGATTGAAGATTACTTTGAGGCATTTCAACAACTTCAGAGTATTTTAAATTACTTCAGAAGGCTTAGAAAATAATTTGAAGCACTTTGGTAACTTTGGAGTATTTCAAGAAACTTCAGGAAGCTTAGAAAAAACACTTAGATTCACTATTTAAAATTTAAACTATAATTATTTATTATCTATTTTGATACAAGGTTTTTTGTCTGACTAAAAGTAGTTTTTACTACTGAAAGTACAATTATTTTTTATTTCTTCGAATTTTAATAGTTTTTGGCTGACTTGAAAAGAGTTTCACTACTTAAATTGCAATTATCTATTATCTATTTTGATACAACTTTTTTTGTCTGAGTAAAAGTAGTTTTTACTACTGAAACTACAATTATTTTTTATTTCTTTGAATTTTAATTGTTTTTGTCTGACATAAAAAAAGTTTTACTACTTAAATTGGAATTATTTTCAATCTATTTTAAAATATTACTTTTTCTGTATGACTAAAAATAATGTTTACTACTGAAAATAGAATTTTATTTAAATATTTTAATGTATAACTGTTTATGTCTGACTAAACATAAGCATTACTACTGAAAATAAAATTATTATTTTTTATTCTTATTTTAAACAACTTTTTGTCTGATCCGATTAAAGATTTACTACTGAGACTACAATTATTTTTCTCATCTATTTTGATTTTTTTAATAATATTAATTAAATTTTATTTCTCATAATTAAACAAATACAAAAGTTTCAAACACATATTAATAATTGTTTATATAACGAGACGAGATTAAATAAATAAATAAATAAATAAATAAAATCCAAATAGAGTTTTACTACTGAAAATGCAATTATTTTTAATCTATTTTGATTTTTTTGATTTTTGATTTTTGTCTGACTGAAGATAGGTTTTACTACTGAAAATACAATTATTTTTAATCTCTTCGACTTTTAATGTAGTTTTTGATTAGAAACATTTTTTTTTTTCTAAAATCGTTGATTACGTTCAAAAATTTTTTAAATTTCAATAATCTTTATAAAAAATAAAAATTTTCTCCGCAATTCAATTATTTTCAAAAAAATTTTAATAAAATTCTTGGCCAAATTTAAATTATTGTCGTAAATAATAAAATTTTTTCCAAGGAATTCAATTAGTTTCATACATAATAAAAATCTTTTTAAGAATTCAATTATTTTCATAAATAATAAAACTCATCGCAGAATTTAAATTATTTTTAATACAAATTTAATCGAATTTTTCGAAAAATAATTGCACTTTCGTAGAATTTTTCAATAAATATTGATTTAAAAATGAATTTTAGTTAAAAACACTAAAAAAAATTGAATTTTTGATAAAATTGACAAATGATTGGAGAAATTCAATTATTTTCAAAAGTAATAAAATTCTTCTTCTCCGAAATTCAATTATTTTCTAAAATTTTAATAAATTTTTCGAGAGAATTCAATTATTTTCTTAAAATTTAATAAATTCTTCGAAACAATTCAATTATCTTTACAAATAATAAAATTCTTCTCTGAAATTCAATTATTTTCGTAAATTCTAATAAATTCTTCAAAAAAATTTAATTATCTTTACAAATAATAAAATTCTTTTCCGAAATTCAACTATTTTCTAAAAGATTAATAAATTCTGCGAATCAATTCAATTATTTTTATAAATAATTAAATTCTTCTCCGAAATTCAATTATTTTCTAAAATTTTAATCAATTTTTCGAAAGAATTCAATTATTTTCTTAAAATTTAATAAATTCTTCGAAACAATTTAATTATTTTCAAAAGTAATAAAATTCTTGGCAGAAATTCAATTATTTTAAAAAATATTTTAATGAAATTCTTGTCAAAATTTCAATTAATTTCCATAATTTTTTAAAATTGTCTTCAAAATTTCAATTAACTTTACAAATAATAAAATTCTTTTTTGAAATTTAATTATTTTCTAAAATTTGAATAAATTCTTCCAAACAATTCAATTATTTTTATAAATAATGAAATTCTTCTCCAAAATTCAATTATTTTCTAAAATTTTTAAAAATTTTTCGAAAGAATTCAATTATTTTCTTAAATTTTAATAAATTCTTCGAAACAATTCAATTATCTTTACAAATAATAAAATTCTTCTCTGAAATTCAATTATTTTCGTAAATTTTAAAAATAAAATTCTTCTCCGCAATTCAATTGTTTTTAAAAATTTTAATAAAATTCTTGGCAATATATTTCAATTATTTTCAAAAATTTTTAAAAACTGTCTTCAAAATTCCAATTATCTTTACAAATAATAAAATTCAATCATTTACGAAAATTGTAATAAATTCTTCGAAACAATTCAATTATTTTTGTAAATAACAAAATTCTTCTCCGAAATTCAATTATTTTCAAAAATTTTAATAACATTCATGTCAAAAAAAGTTTCCAATTAAAATCCTTGAAAATCAGAATTGAATAAATTGAAGAATTCGCGAATGATCGAAATTACGTGAAATTGGATTTTAAACAAATGGATTTGAAAATTCTCAAAGAACTTTTTCGAAAGTTATTAAAAATAATTGATTTAAAGAAGAATGTTAGTAAAAATAATAATAATTAAATAATTATTAAACAAAAAACTATTGATATTTTCAAATAATTTTACAATTAAAGAAATTCGTAAATCACTGTTTTTACATTTATTTACGAATTTCTTTAATTGTAAAATTATTTTATTAGAACATCAAATAAAATACATGCAGAGAAAAAAAAGATTTAAACAATTTACCATTTTCATTAAAAATATTTCAATAAAAAAATTCAATTATTTCAAAGAATTACAAAAGAAACACCGCACATTTCAAAATAATTTACATACTTCAAGATACTTCCAAGTACTTCAAAAAATTCCCGGATACTTCACATCTATACACATACAGTCCTAAAGTAAAAAAAATTGAATAATTCAATAATTAAATAAATTAAAATACAAAAATTTTCCTTCACTCAAAAAAAAAAAAAAAAACACACAGAAAAGCCAGGAACAAATTCCGTTAATAAAATTTAAATAAAACCTTTAACATCCGATTTTTCTCAAAATGTAAATTCTCCCAAGATTTTATTCCCTTGAACTCTGATATAAAAATTTGCATTCTCTGTAAATCAATTCCGCGTTGAGAATAATATTGAGTGCCGCTCGCGAGTGCAAAGAGAGAGAGAGAGAGAGAAAGAGAAAAAAATAGAAAATAAGACACGAAAATTTACAGATGGAGAAACCTTTGGTTCACACCCAGCTTGATATCTGATTATATGTGTGTATATATATAGAGAGGATATTGAGATTTATTCAGATCGAAGGAGAGAGATAAAAAAAAGCGTCAAGCACGACACTACTTTGAATTTCTTACTGAGTCGCTGAGAATGAGACGTTGGTGCCCTGAGCACGTAAAAGCAAAGGAAAGAGATGCAAATAGACGGTTCGGCGACGTTCATGATGCGATCATGATGCGTCACGACTAAAGACGATTGGCGACTACCACTGGAAAAATGTCCGTCTGGTCAGAGAGAGAGAGAGAAAAAAAATTCTCGTTATTTGCAAACTAGAAGCCCACCACCCTTTACTTGTTTTTTCTTTTTTTTTTCTAAACGAATTTATTCGAATCTATTAAAAGCAGGAAATGAAGAATTGACTCTAATTGAGTATCTCGCAATGCGCGAGAGCGACAGTGTAAAACTACAAAATAATTCTATCCGCGAATTTAGAAAATACAAAAGGAAACTTAAAACCTCTCACGCTCACGTGTTTTTACAAGAGCGATATTACACTCTTTAGTATGCATAACAATTATTACAGTGAGTGAAATAAAAAAAAAAAAATAGAGGAAAAAAAAGAGAATGGAATGAAAAGAGAAAAGGAAAAGAGAACAAGAATAAGGGAAAAAATATGAAAGAAAAACATCATTGAAGTTCCGTATATCGTGGGAAGAATGACCATGGTTTGTGTTTATATACGTGTGTCTTGAAATGGTAGAGTTAACGAAGCGTGAAAGTTTATGGTAAACTACTAACGAGTAAGTCGTCATACGAGTCATACTTTATATGTGAAGAACGAGATCTACATTTATGGCGATTCTCGTTTACTCTACTTTTTTTTTCCTTCAATTTATGTCTGCTTTTCATTTTGCTTGTTATTATTACTTTTTTCTTCTCTCGAAAAAGCACTGCAAAAAACTAGTTGTATTTCTGTTTTCTGCTATGGCCAAAAATAAATCTCACTTCTCGCTTTTATTTCTAAAAATCTGTTTCTCGTATTTTTTGTTCAATTTTTTTTTTTATGTACTTTATTTTATATTTTT